AATAAATAAATAAATAAATAAATAAATAAATAAATAAATAAATGTAACTCTGCTCTTTTTTGTTTTGCTTTAGATCATATAATTTTCAAAGATCTGATGGACTTTTAGAAGATTGTTATTTGTGATTTGACTTATTTTCTACAAACACAGTGATGAAGTGATGCTATCTAAGTAATCTCTTGGATTGCTTGAAGACCGAAGTATAGTAAACAAGTGTGTTAGCAAGAATGCATTATTAAAAACATGAATTCACTAACAGTACTAGAATATAATTAGGCCAAATCTTCTAATGCTGCTAGGTAATGATTTATGATTTCAGATCTGTGAAAGCTGGACACAAGTATCATGTCCTTAGGGGGAAACTATTAATTTCTGATTAGCATAACACTTTAGAGAAAAGAATCAATAGATATGTATAAACTTAGAATGAAGCTTAGGAAGGAAACATACTTAAATAATTTGTCCAAACTACCTCAGTGCCTTGAATATTACTCTGCACCTGGGGTTGCATTTGCATATTTGCATGCCTATCACCTTGCCTAGACCTGAGCTCCTGGAAAAGAGGATCTCCGTTTTAATCATGTCTGTATTTCTAGCCTATTGTAGTTCTTAGCACATAATCTGGATTTTCTTCAGATGAAGTTGTAGGCCACCTAAGTTAGATTGTCTGGGGAATTTTGTTAATAGTTCAGATTATCAGGACACACCCACAAAATTACTAAATAAGAATCTCCGGAGGTGAGCTCTAATCTGAGATGATAAGTACGTGCAATGGAATTGATTAAGCAAGGCCTCCAGACCCTGCCCTCCACACATTTCCTCATTTGCTGAAATGCTCATTAGCTACTCGATGAACTTTTATTGGGCATCCACTAAGTGGTAGCTACTCTGGATGTAAAGATAAATGAGACACATGAACAGTTAAAAAGCAGAAGCTGTTGAGTTAGAAGGATTTGGTTTGAGTCAGCCATATGAATTTCAGCAAGTTACTTTACTTCTCTAATCCAGTTTCCTCTTTTGTAAAATAAAAATAATACCTGTGTTATCAGATTGATGTTAATATTAAGTAAGATAATGAATGTAAAGTGCTTGGAATATAGTCTACTCTTAATAATGTTAGCTTCCCCTCCCCCCAATTAATGAGCTTACATTATAGGCAGGGCTGAATTCTTGGAAAATAAGAAAAACTTGGCAATAAGGAAGAGATTGTATAAGAGTTAAATTTTGTTTTATTATACACCACCCCAAACTTGGCAATATAACTTTTTTTTTTTTAAATCCTCACCCGAGGATATTTTTTCCATTGCTTTTCAGAGAGAGTTTGGGGGCGTGGAGAGAACATCAATGTGAGAGAGACACATTGATTGGTTGTTTCCCACTCGTGCACTGATCAGGGTTAGGGAATGAGCATGCAACCGAGGTATGTGCCCTTGGCCAGAATTCAACCTGGGACCCTTCAGTACACAGGCCAACGCTCTAACCACTGAACAAACTGGCTAGGGCAGTGATGTAACTTTTACTGACTCACAGTTTGATGGGTTGGCAATTTGGCCTGAGTTCTGTTGAGACAGTTCATCTCTGTTCTAGACTGTGTCATCTGGGCACACTCATGTAAGTGGCCAGCTGGGAGTCAGTGGCCTCACCCACATATTGACAGGAGCAAAGAAGGTAAGTAGGTCATGTGTATGCATCATCTAGTAGACAAGCTTGGGCTCATGCACATGGTAGTGGCCACAGGGTCCTCAGGAGCAGTGGGAGCCCCATGAGCAAGCACATGTCAAGCCTCTGCTCAAGCCATGTCTACTAGTGTTTCATTTGCCAAAACAAAAGCACATGGTCAAGTCTAGATTCAATGGGTAAAGAGATTCCCTGACTTGATGGGTGAAGGGATGTGCATAGAGGGAGGTAAAGAATTTGTGTCCAGTTTTGTAATCTCCATAGAAAGGGTTTTATTTATTTATTTTTAAAATTTTTAAAAAAATACATCTTTATTGATTTCAGAGAGAGGAAAGGAGAGGGAGAGAGAGAGAGAGAAACATCAATGATGAGAGAGTCATTGATCGAGCCCACAACCTGGGCATGTGCCCTGACCAGGAACCGAACCCTGATTGCCTGGATCCCAGGTCGACACTCAACCGCTGAGCCACGTCCGGCCGGGCACCATAGAAAGGGTTTTAATGACTACTTACTCTGTATCAGGCTTTATGCTGGGTCACTTACGTTGGTACTCGGTATTCATTTGGTCCTTACAACAGTTTCTCACACGTGCGGTTTCCCATTTCAAAGAAGAGAAAACTGATAATTTGATAAATTAAGAGATTTGTATACATTTGGCCCCAATTACTTGCTTCAAGTCATGGCATGGCATTTTAGCTGTTGCCTCTTGCTACTTAGATGATCAGAAGAGCAGCCCATGAGGAGAAGGAGTATCCTTTAATAAAGATTTTTGGTTAAAATGGAGTTCCAAATATTAGTTTTACTTTCCCCTTTTTATCCCTTGATCCATTGGGCCATATATTTATTTGGCATAGAGAAAAATTTAATTTTACTATCCTTATTGTTCTTTAAGACTTTCCAAGAGCTTATGAGGAGCGCTTTAGTGGGTCTTTGTTTTCTTTGCCAGATCGCCTACACAGCCTGGATCCCGCGGTTTGGACATGACTGAGCCCCTTCAATGGGCCAGATATCACTGGCAGCGGCTGATGGGTGGCCCAGCCAGGGACGGTGATGAGAGGCGGTACAGCTATTCCACGCTGCTCGCCTGCGGGGGCAAGCCCTCTCAGACCCCCAGGCTGGCAGGCAGGCACCGGGTTGTCGTTCCCCACCTCCAGCCCTTCAAGGAAGAGTATGAAAAGTTCTCTGGAACCTACGTGAACAACCGAATACGAACCACCAAGTACACGCTTCTGAATTTTGTGCCCAGAAATTTATTTGAACAGTTTCACAGGTACTTCTAGCTTTTGAAAAACATCCTAGATTGTTTGTGTCATTCTAGGTGACAGATTAGATTTTTCATTTTCATAACATTGTGTGTTACGTAAGGCTAAGACTTGTGACTGGTCTTTGACACTTACATTCACGTCGCGCTTCGCAGTTGGTAAGATGCTTTCTCTCGACCAAAGAAGATACCGTTATACTCATATTATGGATCAGGAAACTAGGTTTGACATTGTGGGTTAGCCAATGTCACTCCAGCGATTAAGTAGCAGAGTAGGGGCTATAGCTTTGACTTTTCTCACCGTTGCTTTTGTGTTCCCTACTTTAAACCATGTCACATTTTAATTTTAACTTTTTCTTACTTGGTAATATGGAGAAGTAGAGGTCTGAAGCAAATGCAAATGTAAGATGTTTTTAGGTGAAACAACAATAAAATTCAGTTTAATATATATTTATTGAATCTCTCCTAAGAATTTAGGCACTGAAGGAAATGCAAGTCTAAATGGGGCTCCTTTCCTGTGGACCTCGCTGTTTAGCAAGGGAAACAAGAAGTGTATATAACAGTGAAAGACATAGTGGGTGTGATGAGTATTATAAAGTGCTGCCGTGTAGGATGGAAGCCTCAAAAAGAAAAATAATGCTGATAGCTAGAGCAATAGAAGGGGAAGTGGCATTTGAACTTAATTATGGAGGGAGGGTGAGATATTCACAGCAGAGGTGTTGGCAAAGCACATTTCACATGGGGGAAGGATAATGCAAAGCAGTAACACAGAGATTTTCTTGAGGCCTGGGAAGTAATCCTTTCCAACTAACACAATGAGAAGCAAAATGAAGGCAGAGAGAATATTCAGGAAGATTCTGTATATATCCTGATGAGTTGTCATGGAGACCTGAACTTAAATCAATGTAGGAATGAGACGAAAGATAATCTATTACAGATACTATGGATTAGATATGGGGAACTAAGTTAAAGGTGATGTGACCATGTTGATCTGAGATGACCAAGAGGATTAACAGAAAAATGAAAGACAAAAAAGAATCTTGGCTGGATGATTATTTTGTTTTTGTAAATGTTGAGTTTGAGATATTAATGTGAGTACAGAACTTCTCAACATTCAAATATTCATTCTCATTATTCAGTCTATATATGTTCCAAATGCATTTATTGAGCAGTGAATGTGTTTAAAGTATGCATGTGGCCCAGCCAGTGTGGCTTAGTTGGTCGAGCATGTTCCCATGCACCAAGAGGTCACCGGTTGGATTCCCGGTCAGCACACGCCTGGGTTGTGGGCTCCATCCCCAGTAGGGGGCATGCAGGAGGCAGCCAATCGATGTTTCTCTCTCTCCCTCTCCTTTCCTCTCTCTTTAAAATCAATAAAAACATTAAAAAAAATAATAAAGTATACATATGAATTTGTTGAATTAATGGATTTAAATGCTATGGGCATTTCTGCCTTTTGTGGAGTTTGCAATCTGCTGCACTTGCTGGAATTACAATCTGAACCTTGAAGAGTTCAGGGTCAGCACTGTAGATTTGGATGCAGTCCACAGGGAAATAATTGAAGCCAAGAAAGTAGCAAAAAGGGTTAAGGAAGAAATTTTTCAGAGTAAAAGGAGTTGGAGGTGAGGAAGTAGAAATGTGTGTAGATTATTTTGAAAACTTGGATGGTTAACAGGAAAAGTATGCGATGAAAATTCAAGGGACTATGCAGCATTGAGGTTTTATTTTTGTTTTTTTAAGGAAAAGGGGGACTTGAGTTTACCTTCAGGGCCAGTGGGAGTATTTAAATATATAAAATAGAGGAATGGAGGAAAGTCCTGAAATAGTGGTTCTGAATAACATAAAATCAGAAATAGAAGGGTTGGTCTCAAGGGGGAAAAAAACCTCTCAGGCTTTTCTACTTATTTTGACCTTGTTTGAATGTTATGGTTGGACATACAGATTAATTTCTGAAGGGTAGAAAATTTGGTCATTTAAAAATTTATTTTTACAAAGCATTAACAATGAATTTCCTCTACCTTTTTTGAACTTTTAAAAAGAAAATAGTATTTCCTATTATGTTTTATATCATGTGTAACACAACTCAAGACTGTCACATTCCAATATTTGCCATTATATATTTAATACGTAATACCTCTCATCTATTAAAGTACAACCTTGATTGAGGTAGATGTTTACAGGGGTAATATATTGTTTGTTCAGATTTGATAGATTTTGCTAGTTCTTTATTCCATAGCATCTAAAATCAGCTAATAGAAACTTGTAGAAAAACAGCCTAAGGTATTTTTTGCCTCTTTTGCTTTAGGTGTTTATGCGATTTGTTAACACCTCCTTGTGTGTGTTTGTTTGCAGAGCTGCAAATTTATATTTCCTGTTTCTAGTCGTCCTGAACTGGGTGCCTTTGGTAGAAGCCTTCCAAAAGGAAATTACGATGCTGCCTCTGGTGGTGGTCCTTACAATTATTGCTATTAAGGATGGCTTGGAAGACTACCGAAAATACAAAATTGATAAGCAGATCAACAACTTAGTAACGAAAGTTTACAGTAGGTAAGTGTAACAGGAGCTGTCCTGGGAAATACACATGTATCACTTAGAAACATGCATATTGTTGCTTTCCCCCCTTAGGTGTCACCAGGACCTTTTTTGTGGTGGTGGTGGTGGTAGTGGTGGTGACATTTTCAACTAATACGTATTAAAGACCTACAGTGAATTTAATTAATGTGTCATAGGAAAACAAAAGTGTATGAGACATTGCCAACCAGGAGTTAAAAACTTCTATGACTTAAAAGTGAAACTGAAAAATTAAATCTCAGACCATCAGAAGGAAAGCAAGCAGATAGTTTTAAATCCTAAATGTTACAGTTTGGGATTAGAAGAAGATGGGGTATAAAAAATATATATGGATATGAAAAACAAGATGGAATATGAGAAAGAGAAGACGAGAGCTACCTTTTTCAGAAAGGGATTCTGAAAAATGGAGAAAAAGTGTTTTTGGTGGCATAAACATAGAGGCTGATCAAACCCTTCCTGCTGCAGCAACGGCAGAGGGCATTCATAATAGGAGGTCTTTTCAGAAGCATATTTGCTGTTAGAGACTTGTATTTCCAATATTTATGAACTAGAAAGCTGCACAGCCAAGAATAAGGCCAATAAGATAAGTTTTAAACTTTACTATATNATATTTGCTGTTAGAGACTTGTATTTCCAATATTATGAACTAGAAAGTTGCACAGCCAAGAATAAGGCCAATAAGATAAGTTTTAAACTTTACTATATATTATATTCTTACATTTACAAAATATATCTACAATGCTAGCGTCCAGAAACAACTGTTTATAATACTGTGGGATATTTTTTCAGGTCGTGTGCAGACTGTGTGTCTGTTTTACCAAATTCAAATAATACTACATTATTGTTTTCTCATTCATTCTTTTAGCCTAATATTGTATCATAAACATTTCCCATGTCTTTATCCTTCAGGAAAGTATTTTAATAGCTGCATTATCTCTCATATGACTAATTTATTTAAATATTTCCAGCCCTGGCCAGTGTGGCTCAGTTGACTGGACATCGTCCCATGCACTGAAAGGTTGCTGGTTCGATTCCTTGTCAGGGCATAAGCCTGGGTTGTGTCTTCATCCCCGGTAGGTGCCATCCAGGAGGCAGCCAATCAATGTTTCACACTCGCATTCATGTTTCTCTTTCTCCCTCTCCCTTCCTCTCTCTTCAAAAATCAATAAATTCTTAAAAAAATATTTTCTACATTTGCATTATTTTGAGAATTATGCTTCAGTGAGTATTATACAAAGGTTTTGAAGATTTATGATTATTTTAACATTATAACTAGAAATATAATTAGAATTACTAGATCATAGAAGAGGGATGCATTTAAGTTCTTATTTGTGTGGCTTTTATGAAAATGAATCAAAAAGTTTATAATGTTAATTCTCTGGAGTTCCTTTTCATGAGAACTGTATTTGGTTTTTTAAGAAGTCATCATTAGAACAATTTTTTGAACAGATTTCTGAATCAAATATGTTCATTTATAAACAAGTTTATGGTGTAATTTTTTTTTCATTTCAGAGGTAGGAAAGTTTATGGAGTATTTTGGGGGTAATGAATATATTAACTTGGCCTGAGGGGATTAACCAAAAAAAGAAGCAATAATATGGGTGGTTGGGTGGGGAGAGATTAACCAAAGAACTTATGCATATATGCATAACCCATGGACACAGACAATACTGTGGTGAAGGCCTGGGGTGGGTGGTGGGTGCAAGGTAGAAGGGGTCAATGGCGAAAAAAGTGGACATCTGTAATACTTTAAACAATAAAAATAAATTAAAAAAAAAAAAAAGTTAAAGAGAGAGTTTAAGGCCTACTGTGGAGGGACTTCACCACCAGGCTACTGCTTGGACATTGTATTAGTCAGGGTTCTCCAGAGAAACAGAACCAACAGGAATGAGATTTATTATCAGAAATCAGCTTACATGATATGGAGGCTAAGAAACCCCACCATCCACAAGCTGGAGCCCCAGGAAGGCTGGCAGTGTTATTGCAAAGCCTGAGAGATGGAGAGCTGAAGATGTAGGTTTCAGTCCGTCTGAAGGCCTGAGAACCAGGAGTGCTGAGGTCAGCAGTTCAATGTCCCAGTTCAGCAGTCAGTCGGGCAAAGAGTAAATTCTGTCTTCCTCTACCTTTTTATCCTATTCAGGCCCTCAAGAGATCAGATGAAGCTCACCCACACCAGGGAGGGCCATCTGCTTTACTCAGTTCACCAGACCAAATGCTAATTTCCTCCAGAAACACTCTCACAGACACACCCAGAAGTAATGTTTAACCAGATAGCTGGATACCCTGTGGCCCAGTGAAGTTGACACATAAAATTAACCATCATAGGTATTTTCCTTTGGTGGTAGAGAATCCGTCTTTTCAACAGAGAAGTAGTGTGGTAAAAGCTGTGCTTTAGGAATATTGGTCTCCTCGAATCATGGGAACAGCCTCTACTACTAGGGTAGGTTTCTCTCCACTGATCAGTCTAGGGCATTACTGGGAGTAAACGCGAAGCGCAGGAAGGGGTTCAGAGCAGAGACACTGTGAAGAAGAACCCAATTGAATCTGGTGAACTTCTGTGATTTTTGAGCTTTTGAAAACAAAGGTACCACTCATAGAAACAGGGAGCATTAAATTCACCTCAGGTGAAATGACTTGGAAATGATAGCAGGACAGGCATGCAAGTGGAAATGCCCAGTGGGCAAATAGGAACTCTAGCGAAGTTCTGGAAGGAAGGAAAGGCTACAGAGGGAAACTTCAAAGTCATCAGTCCATTTTCTATGGAATGAAATGTCTATTCCACCATATGGCATGTAGGACTGAACCGTCAAAATGTGACCTCTGCCTACGTATTTGATGTTCTCTCTCTTACTTCCCTGCATGGAAGAGTGAACTGATGTGCACAAACATTAGGGAAAAGTTTGGTAGACAAAATAAACCACTGATTTACCTTTCTCTGTGAACTAATAAACTCTAGCTAATCAAAGATTTCCTTTAGTTGGATTCAACCTGGTGTATTAGGTATTTTGGGAGCATATGTTATAAAAATGTACTTCTTAGTTCTTTAAGCTAAATTTCTTAAAATATATCATAATTCTGTATAGCAGAAGTTTTATAACTATTAACCCAAAGTGGCATTTGTATTTCACTTAATGTGTTAATTTTAAAAATATATAGGTCATATAACAGAATATAATTATTTCCCAGGCTTCTTTGACAATGTATTTAAATATTTAGCCCCATAAATATAATAGAAAATAAATCTCTTGCCCGGCCGGGCGTGGCTCAGCGGTTAAAGCGTCGGCCTAGGATCCAGGCAATCAGGGTTAGATTCCCGGTCCGGGCACATGCCCGGTTGCGGGCTTGATCAATGACTCTCTCCTCATTGATGTTTCTGTCTCTCTCTCTCCCTCTCCTTTCCTCTCTCTGAAATCAATAAAGATATATTTAAATAAATAAATAAATAAATAAATAAATCTCCACCTTTAAAATAAGTGTATATTTGTGACTAGTACCAGTTCTTTATAGACACTTGGGAGGCAATGGGGGAATGAGACAGACTTTCCTAACCTTTGCTGGCAGCAGCATATGGGAAATGCTCCTTCTCTGGCCGATAGGATGTTCTGTAATACAAATATCCCCATTCTACTCTAAGGAAAATGCTTTTGGGGCATAATTCATGTTGTGGGCATGGAAAGGCATGAGAAGTTTGGCAAAAACATTAACATAAAGCAGAGTATTTAAGGCAAATCAAGCTCAAACACCGTATCTTTCCTTTAAAATTTTTTTTGAATATGTGGAATAGCTAAACTACTTTTGAAAACGGATATAATTTGCCAGTTTCTTTTGTAGGAATCAATTGCAACAGACTCGGGGCTGTCTAAGATTTTTATTAAATAAGTGGAACTGTTAATATAGTGGTATAATGATTTTTAAAATGTTGTGCCTGGGTATTTATTCCATTTCTTTTGTGTCGTCTTTAATTGTCCCCTCTGCCACGTGGGAAGCCCTCTGAGAACAGATGTTGTGTCTGTGCCCTTCCGGATCCCAACACTTGACCACAGCGTACATGCAGAAATTGCTTCCTATATGAATAACTCCATCAAAGAGTAAATTTAATTTTGTTCCAGATTTACACTCAAATAGCAAAATGGTTCAAAATCTCACGGGAAAAGTAGAGCTGAAAAATATGTTTTAGCAGCTGGTAACTAAATTTTCAGGTAAAACACATTGTGGAATTTAGGTTTTCTAATTCTGGGGCTTCCCTTTTAGCAGTTAATGGATTAAAATTCACCCTAATACATTAAACGTGCTTTAATTCATATGGTGAAACTTAAAAAACCCACTACTGTGTATGTTTTTGGCTTGATATTCTTTTTAAACTTTTTTTTTCAATTTTAGGAAAGAGAAAAAATACCTTGATCAGTGCTGGAAAGATGTGACTGTTGGGGACTTTATTCGCCTTTCCTGTAATGAGGTCATTCCTGCAGATATGGTCTTACTCTTTTCCACTGATCCAGATGGAATCTGCCATATTGAGACTTCTGGTCTTGATGGAGAGAGCAATTTAAAACAGAGGCAGGTGGTTCGGGGATATGCAGAGCAGGTAAATGACATGTTTGCAGTTGGTGACATTAACATTTCCTTTTTAGAAAATGACTAAGCTTATTTTTACATGTATAGATAAAGAGATTTTAAAATTTATTTTTACCATTAAAAAATAGAATCCCAGAAGGCTTAATATAGCTCCCGATATCAGTGGAAGTATGCTATATCTTTTAGATAATAGGATATGATGACTTTGGAGTTAATGAATTTCAGTCTGCAATCATCTGTTTTTTGGAACTGAATTAAAAGCACCTAACAATTATTTTGACTTTGGGTGGTGGGCACACAATGCATTATACAAATGATGTATCATAGACTTGTGCACTTGAAACCTATGATTTTATTAATGTCACCCCAATAAATTTAATTTAAAAAGAAATATTTTGCAATTTGGAAAATTATTTTGTAATAGAAATAATCACCCTCTAATTTATCGTTTTTAAGCCTAGACTTTATGTTATTGGAGCTGGAGATATAAATAGATCATTGTTCCTAAAAATCTGTCATTACTTATATACCAACACCTTTTAAAGGCTTGTAGCTCCTCATGCCACAGAGCTTCTAGACCTTTCATGGGCTGTGGTGAGGGAAACAAGGACTTTGAAGTTACATTAATTAACATGAGTTTGACTGAATTCCAATTCTGCTGTTCATTACTGTCTGACTTTGAGCAACTTTATGCATCAGTTTCTTTATCTTAAAATGGAGATGTCTCCCTACTAGTCTTGCTGTGAGACTCAAGTGAAGTAATATTTGTAAAAGCCTCATACATAATGCCTAAGTTTCAGTTTTCCTTCCCTTTCTCTGGAAGCACTTGAGATGAAGGATTTTAAAATTTAATGGCCTTCCTTTAAATGAACTACTAATAGGTCAGATTTTCTTCCTCTTGTAAGCCAGAGAATATGTTAGCCAAAGAATACCCTTATCTTTAGTAAATCTCATCACCTGATGTCACATTGGGCCCATCTTTCAACCTATGTATTTAGTATTTAGATCCTCTGTGATTGATAGGCCTCTGAGCTTATTGTCAGTGTCACTTTTATAAGCATTCCTGCACCTAAGACATTTTTAAAAGCCTTGTACAACTTGGATTTTTATTACATACCACTAAATACCTACTTTGAGGGTGATGTCAGCTAATTAATCAGCACACTTTGGATTTAATTAAGGGTGAGCCTTCTGGTATTCTGTGACCTCAGTTGTTACCCTGTCTCTAAATTCCGTCTCGTTTTGAGACCTTTAGCAAATTACTGATCCTCTTTGTGTCTTTCTTTCTTCATCTATTAATTATACCTAATTATATTACCACATGGGGTTGGAAAGAAGGTATCAGTTAACATATTTAAAGTGCATAATATAGATTCTAGTACATCAAAAGAACTGAAAAATATTATTAGCAAATTGAATTATATGATCATAACTCATATTTTCCATTATGTTTGCTTTATAAATGTTTCACGAGCTGTATCAATAGCATTTTTTGTTAGCCAAAAGGCCTTATGAAAATAAAATGGGAAATAAGATAGGGTTGGCGTGGCTTGTTCATAGTGAGTCCATGCCTATGTTCTATAAAGACACTTTGCTTATTTTTTGCTCATTGGTTTTATAAAACATTCTAAAATTATTGTTTGATCCATTAGAGTATTTTGTAAGATATTAATGTCCAGCTTATTTTAAAATTTTTTTTTTAAATTGCTGGAATCAAATGCATTATGTGTTCAAAGTATTCACATGTACATTTACTCTCAGAAACTACCTACATGGTTGAAGAACAACAACAGTGTTTTCAGCCTTGTGCCTTCTCGATAAGAGTGTTGACTGTATGAGTAGAAGCTCTCTTCTGCAGAGTCCTGCATAGATTCCAGTATAGGATTCAGACATCCTCATTGCCTGCTGATGACTATTAATGCTCTAGGACCATTCTGATCCAATTTATTCATCCATAATTATGCCTGTATTTTCCTTCATTTGGGCAATTTGTGACATAAACTTTGTGGCAAGGATGCCTTAGTTTTACCTTAAGAATTGGTGAAGGAACAAACACTTAAATCTTAAGGATTTAACCTTGAATTCTCCTTGTTTTATGATTTTAAAATATACATGTATAAATATATATGTTTTAGGACTCTGAACTTGATCCTGAGAAATTCTTCAGTAGGATAGAATGTGAAAGTCCAAACAATGACCTCAGCAGATTCCGAGGCTTCCTGTGAGTGATACATGACTTACCTTTGTGGGTAGAATTGTGTGTTGCAGCTATTTTTAACTTGATAAAACTTTGTGTACTTATATCCAAGTTGAATCACTAATGGTCATATGTTTAGACACCTTATAAATTTGGTAAATATTTACCTATGTATATTTTCAAAATAACAACCAAACCTTCTTCTTAAACTAATCCTAGAACCTCAGTGGTGTAAGAATGTCTTACATAAGCTCCACATTAAGCCAAAAACATGTTAGTTGTTTGGAAGGAGGTGTTTGGACAGAACTGACAGCTTAGGTGACATGATAGGATGGTGTTCTGCAGAATTAGAGTAGCATGTGGACAGTTCTGGTTGGCAAAATTTAGGCAGTGATTTGGAAACACATCTAAGAAGAAGTATGAAAAATAATGACAGTGTTCATTTTGGAGGCTTCTTGTGCTATCCACATCTCTTTTGCACAGGCAGCTAGAATTTGGGGTCTTACCTAATTTTATGCCTGGCTTATACCACTTAATGGCTTTATGCACTGAGCCAACTCATTTACTCCTTTAGTTTCTTTATTTTTAAGAAGAGACAATTCGACCTACTTCATAGTGGTGATCTTGTGAGAAAATGGTAGAGAAAAGTTCTCAACTCGTTTTTTCGAGAACCAGAATTGGTCCTGATACCATTACCCAGATACCAAAAGCATTCAAAGACATTTAAGAAAAGATCAGTGTCTCTCATGAACCGTGTATGCAAATATTCTAACAAAATTATACCAAATCACATCCAACAATGTATAAAAAGGATAGTACATCATGACCAAGTGGGACTTATCCCAAAAATTGCAGGATTGATTTAACATTTGAAAATCAAACAATGTGATCCGCCATATTAATAAACCATAATTAACAAATTAAAAAAGAAAATCCAGGTGATCATTTCATAGATGTAGAAAAAACATTTGACAAAACCTAGCTTTTGTTCTTACAAACTGGAACTAGAAGGGAACTTCCTTAACCTGATAAATGGCATTTGTGTAAAAACCTGTAGATAGCATCATACTTAATGGTAAAAGACTAAATGCTTTTTCCAAGATCAGGAACAAGACATAGGTATTCACTTGACGACTTTTTTTCAAACAAGAACTGGAGATTTTTTTAAAAAAAATATATATCTTTATTGATTTCAGAGAGAGGAAAGGAGAGGGAGAGAGAGATAGAAACATCAATGATGAGAGAGTCATTGATCAAGCTCACAACCCGGGCATGTGCCCTGACTGGGAATCGAACCCCGATCGCCTGGATCCCAGGTCGATGCTCAACCGCTGAGCCATGCCTGGCTGGGCAAGAACTGGAGATTTTAGCTAGTACAGTCAGGCAAGAAAAGGAAATCAAATAAAAAGAAGGAAGCAAAACCTCTATTCATAGATGGGTGTGATAGTTTTTGTAGAAAGTCTGATAAAATCTATTAAAAAAACTACATGAATTAATAAGTGTATTTAACAGTGTTCTAGGAAATATGATTAACATACAAAAATCAATTGTATTTCTGTATACTAGGAATGAGCAAATAGATATTGAAAAATTTTAAATATAATTTACAGTAGCATCAGTAAAAATAAAATACTTAAGGATAAATTTGACAAAAGATGTGAAAGACCTGCACACTGAACATTACTGAACACTGTTGAGAGAAATTAAAGACCTAAATTAAAAGTAGAGGCATATGTTTTTCATACATTGACTCAATAGTTTTCATGATGTGAGTTTGCCCAAAATTGATCTATAAATTCAGTGTAATCCCAAAAAAATTCCAGCAGGTTTTTTTTGCGTGTGTGTGTGCTTTTTTTTTTAGAAATTGACAAGTTTATTCTAAAAATTTATATGGAGCTGCAAAGGAACTAGGTTAACTAAAACAGCTTTCAAAAAGAAGAAAGTTGGAGGGCTAACACCACCTGACTTCAAGACGTATTATAAAGGTACAATAATCAAGCCAGTGTCATTTTGGCATAAAAATGGACCAATAGATCAATGGAAAATGTTGTGAAGCCCAGAAATTAACCCAGATATTTATGGACACATGGTATTTGACAAAGATGCAAAGGCAGTTTAGTAAAGAAAGTTTAGTCTTTTTAATAGATGATGCTGCAGCAATTGAATATATTTAAAAAATAAACTACAGTCCACACTTCTCACCATTAAAAAATTTACTAAATAAGTATCCTATGCTTAAATGTAAACCTAAAATTATAAAACTCCTAGAAGAAAACATAGGGTCAATCTTGTATCTTGGGTTAGACACAGATTTCTTAGCTATAGCACTAAAAGTACAATCCACAAAAAGGTAAAAAATAAAATAACTTTATCAAATTTAAAAACCTTTTCTCTTCAAATGACACTATTAGGGTAAATGAAAATGTAAGACACAGACTGGAAGAAAATATTTTCAATGCATTTATCTGATATAGGACTTATATTCAGAAAATATAAAGACATCTCAAAACTCAGTAATAAGAATACAAACAATACAATTTTTAGAATGGTCAAAAAAATTTGAACACTTTAGCAGAGAAAATAAATGGATTACAAATATTTGTGTGAAAAGATGTAAGTAAAAAGCACAGATCTCTAATGCTAAAATTACAAAGATCAACTATACAAAATGTAGGTGAGGATGCAGAGGAACTGGAACACTCACACTGCTGGTAGGAATTCAAATGGTACAATTACTTTGGAAAACAGTTTGGAAATTTCCCAGAAAGGTAAACATACACCCATTGTGTAGCCCGGGCATTCCACTCCTAAGTAGTTACCCTAGAGAAAAGAAAACGTATAGTAACTGGTACACAAGTATTCATTCATAGCAGCTTTATTTGTATTAGCCAAGAACTGGAAATAACCCAAATGTCTATCAACAGGGAAATAGATAAACAAATTTTGGTATATCCATAAGTAGAATACTACTTAGCAGCAAAAAAGAATTCACAAGGGCTACATGCAACAACATGAATACATCTGAAAATAACCATGAGTGAAAAGCCAGGCATAAAAAGAGTGTATACTATATGATCTGATTTATAGAGTCTCTAGAAAATGAAAGGTAATTCATAGTGTTAGAAAGCAGATGACTGAGTGCTGAGATGGGGAAAGTGGGAAGGATGGGTTACAAAAGGACATGAGGAAACCTTTGGGAGTGATGGCTATGTTTATTGCCCTGATTGTGGTGATGGTTTCACAGGGGAAACATGTCAAAACATCAGATTTTATACTTTAAATATGGGCAGATGATACTTGTTAGTTATTCCTCAATAAAGTTGTTTAAATTTTTATAAAACATAAGAGTTATGTAAGTAATTGTAGATTATAATGGTAGCATCTTTAAGTAGCATCTGTACAGACAGGTTGTCCAGCAGAGATGGGAACTATGCAGTGGAATAAAGAAAGGCTTGGTCCTGGTAAGGAGATAATGCCAGAATTAAATCTTCAAGAATGTGAAGATGCCATGTAGGCAGTTCATTGCCAAGAATGACTGATATTCTAGGTTGATGGAGCAACATAGGCAATGGCATAGAGGCCTGAGACCACAGTGCATTTGTTCAGTTGTGAGTGGTTAAGTATGTCTGGAATGTGAGTGAGCAATAAGGGAGATCATAAAGAAGCCAGATCCTGAAGGAACTTGTATGCTTTGCTTAAGATGAAATATTTATCCTGAAGTCATTGGGGTTAACATTAGAGAAATCCTTCCATGGCTAAATTTTAGATGGTCTTCATGAAGAGACATTAGGCAGATACCCCTCTCATCAGAAACATGCTCATAAACCATCTCCTAGGATGAGTGCTTTTCTAGGATTATTTCCTTTAGCTGCTGACAGTTTGTAAAGTTTCCTCTTGTAAATGTCAGATTCAGGGGCTGCCATTTTTAAACTGATGTCAGATCTGTCTTAGGGTCCAGCCTATACAATCTTCTCCCCACAGCTGGGAATGCTGACCCTCCTGACAAAATCAGACTCCTTTGGCAGGGTGAATCTTGTTTATGGACATGAGAAAACAGGAAGGAACATAGCCTAGCACTGTGTGAACTACAGCATAGAATTCTGCCCTGAATCTGGGCAGAGCATGTATTAGTAGATTTTTTAAAAATTATAAAAGCATTGTTGCCACTCTAATTCTGATCCTGTGTTCCAATTCTGACAGCTTGTCTAATACCTGAGACTCCATCTCTTGCTACCTTGGATCCTTTCACTGTGGTGTGAACTTGACCAAATGTCTGGGACTAGAGCCCTTGCCTGGTCTACCTTTGTCAGCCCCTCTCTTCATCCACTTTGGACATGGTTCTTTTTTAACAGATACATGAGAGCATCACTTGCTATGCTAGGTACTGAGTCTTGCCCCAGAATCCTTACCTAGTCCCAAGTCCCTTTCTGCTCCTGGCTCTCCACATTATCACTTGCCCCTGGATTCCTGGATGCCACATTTGCTTACCCTTTGGTTCCTCCATTCTTGATAAGTTCTTTTGATGTCTGTTTGTTCCAACATGTGGTGCCTTACTTTCTGATTAGCGTGGTCTGACCACTGAAATGGTCTTCCTCCTGGAATCCACAGCTAAAAGATACTCTCTGCTTCCTCCCTCCAACCCCCCTCAGATTATTTCTTCCTAAGTGTTTGGACTAACTTGGGTCTTTTCTGTTGATCCCTGTATTGAGAGTTGGCTTCACTAATTTTCGGAGAAGCATTTAATGAGAGAATTAGCCCAGGAAGACCCAGGGACTTTCTGTGGAATTATTTTTAACCGTTGAACTAGCTCCTTGTACTTTTCTTACTTTGTTGTCTGTTTTCAGATTGCAACAAAAGTAGAGATGCTCAAGCTTACACTCTATGAGATGCCTTCTCTGATCTTCTTACTCTCAAACAGAACTGACTTCCTTCCTATTTTTGCCCACGTTGTATGCTAACTCTCATATTTCTATCATAATAGTTATAATCTTTTGATTACACTTATATATTTTATATCATTCACCTCCTCTTAGATCACAGGAGCAAAGACTGTGTATGTTCGTTTTTCTATTCCCGGCATCTGGTGGGAGTGCTGGGACACAGTAGATGTTACATAGGTTCTTGAATGAATGCGAGCTGTATGTGTTTAGTCTGTGCTTCATATAGAATCCGAAGGTCTCATGCCATAAGTGTCAAATATCACACACCCATCAGGTGCAGGACATGTTTAGCATCTGAGCAGATGCAACCAAATAGAAGCTGGGCTTTGATCTAATGGTAACCTAGAGTGATGTGATGATGAAAATAAGGATCCCAGGGGGAAACATTTTTATATTTACTAAGGCACTTTGGAACTGAGGCTTTTGTATGTTAAATCTGTCCCTATAAAGGGTTTAGGGATAACACATGCTATACTGTTGAGGATTGGGTGGTGCTTGCCTGGGAATGGGAATGTTGGGACTTAATTTCCTTACTGTAAAACCAGGATGCTGAATTAGATTAAACCCAAGGACACTTCTAGTTCTGACCATAACTCTGTAGTTCACTCTGTGTCCCCTTGTCCTATTGGTAATTCTGTTAAGATCAGTGTTGTCAGTCTTACTCTTTTACTATCAAGTTCCCCATCAGCCTTTTACTTAGTGATGTTAGTGACCAACAGTTACCATTGCGTAGAACCATTCGTGATTTCATCTGGGTTGAAAATGATGATTTTCCAATTCTATCAAGAACTCCCTCATCAACTATTAATTACCTGAAGTACAGTTTGTGCTAAAGAAGCAGGTTGCTTATTGGGAATTTTTTTGAGCTTCTATAAAACTAGAAGTTAACAAAAAAATAGTAGAAAACAATGGTTTTTAGAAACTTGTTATATCTTTTTCAGCCAGAGCAGATAACTCTGAAATAACAAAAGCAAATAGGCCAGAGATTTGAAAGCTTTTCTGTGCACTGCCTAACTTAATACTCTAATCAAAAACACTCAAAACCATGATTTTTATTTTTCTGTCCCCACTTTTTCTATTTAAAAATGAACCTATATGCTGTCTTCCTTATAGAGAACATTCCAATAAGGAACGCGTGGGTCTCGGTAAAGAAAATTTATTACTCAGAGGATGCACCATTAGAAACACAGAGGCTGTTGTGGGCATTGTGGTTTATGCAGGTTGGTTCTCACCATTGTCTCCTCTGTGCTTTCCTACATGTTAATATTTTCCATTCACTCGAAATGCAATCTTCAAAGGCAGAAAGGAAATATTGTCTTGATAAACTTAATCATTGGCCTGTTTTTTTTGTTGTTGTTTTTAATATATCTGTATTGATTTCAGAGAAAGGAAGGGAGAGGGAAAGAGAGAGATAGAAACATCAGTGATGAATCATTGATTGTCTGCCTGCTGCATGCCCCCTGCTGGGGATCGAGCCCGCAACCAGGACATGTGCCCTGACAGGGAATTGAACTGGCATCTCCTGGATCATAAGTCGAGGCTCAACTGCTGAGCCTCGCCAGCTGGGCTGGTCTCTGTTTTTCTAAATGGATTACAAAAACAAACTAAATTAACAAAATATATTATGTAACTACCTTTTTTATGAACTTATCTGCCAGAGAGATTTTAAACTATGATATTTGCCACCTGGCTTTAATTTGCACAGTATCTGACATATTATGTTACTTACTTAGGCCATGAAACCAAAGCAATGCTGAACAACAGCGGTCCAAGGTATAAGCGCAGCAAGTTAGAAAGAAGAGCAAATACAGATGTCCTCTGGTGTGTTCTGCTTTTGGTTATAATGTGTTTAACTGGTGCCTTGGGTACGTAAAATTTCATTATTTGCAGGCATCTTTTCAACAAGATATTTATTTAAAAGTATTTTACTTTCCAAAATGTATGAATGTCTGACTTCTATAAAGAAGGTTTTATTTGCCTGTGATTTCCCCCCCGTATATCCTAATATCATTCTTTGGCCTCAAAAGCACTAAATGTTGATTATATTCAATTATACGTGCCACAATGCTGACGGGACCTGGGAAGGGATTTAAATAGAGACAGAAACAAGAGAATGTGTAGAATTTTGAATTTGAATTTGTTTCCAATAACAAATAATTGGTGTTCAACCAAAATAAATACTCTTATCCCTGTTTATTTTAGAAATAAAGTTTTATATTTTGAATAATATATACTTAGCATCCATTTGATATTCATGTATTTTTTGAAAGGTCATGGAATCTGGTTGAGTAGATATGGAAACATACCCTTTTTTAATATCCCTGAGCCTAATGGACATGTCATATCACCAGTGTTGGCAGGATTCTACATGTTTTGGACCATGATCATTTTGTTACAGGTAATTTCTGTTGAGCTCATCATAGAATTTTAAGATCTTTGTTACTTATCCAGCTCTATTCTGTTTCTCAACCTTTTCTCCCTTTAACATTTTAAAAATTGTTTGGTTCTTTTTAGGTCTTGATTCCCATTTCTCTCTATGTTTCCATTGAAGTTGTAAAGCTTGGACAAATATACTTTATTCAAAGCGATGTGGATTTCTACAATGAGAAAATGGATTCTACTATTCAGTGCCGAGCCCTGAACATCACTGAGGATCTTGGACAGATTCAGTACCTCTTTTCTGATAAGACAGGAACCCTCACTGAGAATAAGATGGTTTTTCGAAGATGTAGTGTGGCAGGCTTTGATTACTGTCATGAAGAAAATGGTGAGTGTTGGGTGTCTGTGAAAACCTTAACATTGATCTTTCGACACCCACTTAACAGTTTGATAATTCTAGTATAAAAGTGCTGTATTTAAGCATTGGGTACTAATGGGCATTAAGCTTAATTGTCATCCCTTCAAAAGTTAGTAGATCAAAGTCAAGGAATTTACTGCCAAATTTTCTTTTAAAGGAAAGTGAATTACCAATAGAAGTAGAAGGTGAGGTTGTAGATAGTGACAATAATATTGCATCATAAATGCTTTTGAGAATCTAATGAGAATATGAACCATATCCCTAAAAATTATTTTGAAAATATTTCCACAGGGACTACAGGCTTCCCCTAACTCCAGCATTCAGCCTGGAGGCATTCACTGATTCTTGGTTAAGGACGCCTAGTTTAAGAATAAATAAGATGAGCTGAACTTCTGACACTAAGGAAGTAAATAAATAAATTACAAGTTTTCCTGAAAGAATTGAACTTTAACTTTATTTATAAAAGTAATATGTATTCCTATGAAGATAGTTCTGAGAACTGTTCAAAACAAAAAACCCTGCTCTCTAAAGGTCAACAATTTGATGACTAATTAACCATCCATTTCTTTATGCATATTCCTCTATATGTACCTGTACTTACACATTTTCCCTTTCGTAAGTTAGAACATGTTATGATATTGTTTTGCAATTTCCTTCTTTTATTCAACAATATCTCGAGGGCTTTTTTGCAAATAATTTCATGACATTAAGTGCATAGTGTTGCATTATTTGTGGCCGAGCTCAGTTTGCTCTTATAACAGTACTTTCAATTAACATCACTTATTCATTCAACATATATTTTGTGAGCTCCTAATATGTGGCTTTAGCCCATGATTTCATGTAGCTTAGGATTTGGAATAAGGAGACAGACAAATAAGATTAAAGATTATGATAGATTATGATAGATAAGATAAAAGAAGATACCTGTTGCTCATGCCCAGCCGTAATGGGATGAAGATATTCTTTTTAGTCTGTCTTAGTTTTCAGTTAATAATGAGATGTTTAACTTTTTATGTGTTTATTGGTCCTTTGAATTTCATGTCATTTTCTTATTACAAGACTTAATTTTCTTATTCTTGGTCATCCGTAGGAGGGTTTTATCTACTAAGTCAGTCGCATCCATTTTCATTTGTGCACTTGGATTGAACCAGATGTTAAATAATTTGATTATCAGCCCTAATATTATCCCTTTCTTCTATACATAGCAAGTATTTTCCTGGTTCATGATTTATCAATGTATTAGTTTTCTATTGCTGCATAATGAATTGCCACAAAGTTAGTGGCTTAAAACAACACAAATATACAATCTCATGGCTTCCGTGGGTCAAGAGTCTCTTGGGGTCTCTCACCAGGATGAAGTCTAGGTGTCAGCTGGGGCCATGATCTTATCTGAGGCTCATTCGGTTTTTTGGATGAATTCTGAGTCTTGAGGTTATAAGGCTGTGGTCTTTTCTGCTGGCTCTCAGCCTGAGTCACTCTGAGCTCCTAGAGGCAGCCGAACTCAGCATGGCAGTTTGCTTCTTCAAGGCCAGCAGCAGACCCTCTAGCTTTGAGTCTCCCTCACTTTAGGGAAGTACTGACACCTCAATTAAGGGACTTAACCTGATGAGATCAGATCCACCTTGGGTAGCCTTCTTTCACATTCACTCAAAGTCAACCGACTAGGAACTAGATCACATCTTCAAATTCCCTCCACCTGTGCCCTAAAACATAATGTAATCATAGAAGTGAGATTCTCATCATGCTCAAAAGGGGTATACACCAGCGACCACGAATCTTGGGGGCCGTCTTAGAATTCTGCCTACCGCCACAGTCTATTAACTTCACTTAGGGAGTCTGTTCTTGTTAGAGGTATTATATTTTCATTAAATATTTTTGTCAATTATTGTGAATATTAGTAAGATTATTAGTAAAATGATTTCTGCCCACAGTGTTATACTTAGACATCCCACCATGCCCAAATTTTAAAAATATATATTATACTATATTTTCTCCTAGGTATATATATTTTTAAGCCAGTTTTGTTGTTACCGGTGAGCGTGAGGGGTAAAATGTTGAGTATCACATAATCACTATCTAAATTTTAAAGAAATAGCTAGTCTCATAATGATAATCTGCATTATGTTTCATCTTTTTTTATTGTCCTTTTATTACAAAAGAAGTGTTATAGAAAATTCAGGTAAGCCAAAAAAGGAAAATTTTTGTCATCAATAACCCTCACTAAACAAAGTGGACCACTGTCAACATTTTAGTGCATTTCTTTTGAGTTTGCATTTCATGTACACATTAATATGTGTTTTTTAAGCGAAAGGGGCATCACAGTGCACCTTTACTCTTATACACATTTTCCTTAAGGCTTCATCATGACCCCCTTTCCATTATCTCCTTGTTCTTCTAGTGGTTCTTCTAGTGTTCTTCTGTATGGCAAGTAAGAGTTCCCGTAGCACATGCAATTGATCCATCATTAGCTTAGGTTGTCAGCAGTCCTTCGTTGTAATAAACAGTGCTGCAGTGAACATCCTTGTGGCTAAAGCTCTATGCCCATTTGTGAGGCTAGAGTTTTTTATAACTGTATTTGCGACCTTTAAGAGGGCTGGCATCAGCCTTCTCCTACCCCAGTCCCTGAACATGCACGCTCCTGCCCAGTGAGTGCTTCTCTTCTGTGGCTCCTCATGCAGAGAAGATACCAAGTGCCTAAGAATCAGATGCTGTGATGACAACCGTATAATTGATAAGATAACTGTTTGTGAACCATAGAGTGTTGCACTACTTCTAGAAAGTGCTGACTTTGCCTGTGAGCACTTATTTACCATATACATCTAGAGTCTCTGGTCCATTTTTTGCAATGACTTAAAAATGAGTCCATGTACACACTCACTCACAGCACACACACTCACACACGCACACTGAATGCTGAAGAGAGTGATGGTAGAGGTCAATTCTCCCAAGAACTTAATTCTGGAGAGACATATTATTAATTCTGAGACACATTATTTTAACTGAAATGAAAACAAGTTAACCCTTCAGGTTTTACTAGCAAAAGTGTTGGCTAGGAGATATTTCCATAAAGAATACTGCTGCTTGGAGATAGCCCTTACACATATATAATTGGACTAAACACGTATGACAAGACTATTTTATGTTTTAAAACCTTGCAACTTAGAAATTTGGTCCATGGACTAAGCAGCATGCAAACAGCTAGCAGTCCAACACTGGATATTCCAGACACTGGGCATAATGATAAATAATACAGATAAGGCCCCTGCTCTCATGGAGCTTCTGTTGGAGAAAATAGTCACAAATAAATGAATTTTTAAATCAAGAAAAAATTTAAATAGTAAAAAGTACTTTGCAAAGGGTTAAAATGGGGTGATATGATACAGAATGGTTGGAAGGCTATTTTGGATTGGGTGATTGGGCAAGTCTTCTCTAAGAGGGCATTAGAGCCTAGATCTAAATTACATAATCTTGAAGTTCAGGGGCAAAAGCCTTCCAGTCAGAGGGAGCAGCTAGTCTGGCCCTCAGGCTGAAATGAGCTTGGCAATTTTCAAAGTTTAAGAAAGGCTGGTGAGCCTGGGTTTTAGTGGAAGTGCAGGAGAAGAAGGGGCAAGAAAGCCAGAGAGGTCAGCAGAGGTCAGGTTGTTTTGAGTTGTGTAAGCCAAGAAAAGGGATTCAGATTTTACTCTGAGTGAGTTGTGAAGCCACTGGACAGTTTTGTGCAGGGAGTGATCTGATCTGTTTATCTTTTAGGAAGGTCACTCTAGCTACTATGTGAGGAATGGATTGCTGAGGGGCAAGGAGACCAGTTATGAGGCTATTGCACTAGTCCAGTTGAGAGATGAGGATGGCTTGGACCACGGTAACGGAGATGGAGAGGAGTCAAGATATTTGGGATGTATTTTGGATGAATAATGGACAGCCGTTGGTGATGCTTTGACAGAGGGGGCTGGGGGAAACGAGAGGAATCAGGGAGGATCCTAAATTTTTGGCATAAGTAACTAGATAGTTAGGTATCATTTACAAAGATGGGGAAGACAGACAAAGGGTAAGTCTGAGGGAGAAGAAAAAGAGTTCTATTTCACAGGTGCAATTTAAATTATTATTTACTATCCAATGAGTACTTATTAAGTATCTATCAACCACTGCTTTGGGTTCTGGGGATATCAAAAATAGATAAAATTATCTGCCTTTTTGGAGTTTATATAAAAAATATAAGCAAATAAGCTATATAGTGCATATATATCTTAGGGTAATTGCTGAGACAGGATTAGTAAATAGTAAATAGTGTGGTTAAATCTGGGAAGTCTTCACTGGCAAAGGGACATGATAAGAAACTTGAGGGAAGTAAGAGTGTGAGCCATATAGGTACCTGCTGGAGAACCCTCTCGACATCTAATTGGAAGTATTAAATGAAGAATTGGATTCCAGTTAGAAGTCAGAGTTGAAGGTATAGGCTTGGAGGTCATGCGCATAGAGATGATATTTCAAAGATGGGACCAGATGACATCACCAAGGAAGACTTATAGGTGGAGAAGGGAAGGAGCTTCTGCAGCAACCTAATATCTGAGGACTGGGGAGGAGGGGGGTAGCAGGAGAAACTAAGAAGGAACAGCCTTTGAAGTAGGAGGAAAGTTGGGGTCAGAGAAACAAGAAGAGCCATTTCAAGGAGAAAATAGTCAACTCTGTTGGATATTGCTAAGAGTTCAAATAAAATACAGGCAGATGGGATCATTGGATTTGGTAGCAGGGAGCTTGTGGGTGACCTCGACAAGAGCAGTGTCCTTGGAGAGACAGGGACAGAAAGCCCTGAGACTAGTTGAGGAGAGATTGGTGTAGGTGAAAGAGGGGGGAATTATAAGGGTGGAGCCCTTGAGAAGGCCAGAGGCATGGATGCAGAGCACGAGTGGAGGGTTTGGCAATTGAATCTTTACCCGTAGCGGGAAGAGGGAAGACAGAGAGTTTGGGTACAAATGCAGGTAGGCTCGTAGATTCAGTGATGGGAAAAGAAAGGAGTTCCTATCTGACTGCTTCCCCTTTTCTCCAGAGATAAGTTCATTAACCAAGGCCATTGGGGGAGGGGAGGTTGGAGGCCAGGTTTGAAAAGGAAAGAGATGGTCGGAAATAGCTGTTTAAGTAAATGCCTGACTATTCAGCTTGCAGGTGGTTCTCAGGTAATGATGCGGTGTGATTTTCCCCCCTTAGCCAAGAGGTTAGAGTCCTACCAGGAAGCCGCCTCTGAAGATGAGGACTTCGCAGGCACCCCCAGTGGCTCCCTTAGCCATGTGGCGAAGCCAAGGGCCCCCAGCGGCAGGACGCTTCAGAGCGGGCCTCTGGGAGGTAAACCCTCGAAGCATCTTGCTGGGAGCTGGTCCGCTCTAGGAGGTGGAGAAGGGGCTGGCGAAGGTCCTCGCTGCAGGCAGGCTGCTTTCAGCAGCCCCATGGTGAGTGTGTGCGTGACGTGACTCTTGTCCACTCACAGTGAGTAATGCAGGGCCTGCTCGTAATTATAGCAGAGCCAAACACTGTTGTCTTCTCCACCCGAGAAGAGACCACATAATTGCAGGTCAGTGTGAGTGCCACACATATCATCGGCAGTATAATATTACAACTTCCTAATTTCGGGGGTAACTTCAATGTTGAGAGAGAGATAATATATCATTTCTGAAGAGTGAAAAAAAAAGATAATATTTCTAATGAGGGCCAATCCTGTTTGAGCCTGAAGAAGGCTGCCCTCCGTAAGGACCAGAGCTCACTCTCAGAGAAGCCGGCCAGAGTTACCTCATGCACTGGTGGGTATGTCTAAATCCTTGGTACCCTCCAAGACCTTTGATTTTCTGTAATCTCCTCCCAAGTCCCACCAGACCTGGGTGCTTTTCCCCATTTCTAGTCCTCAGAGAGGCATTTTCTAATATTTTGGTTTTAGAGCTCAACAGGGTGTGTACCTGAGTCCCAAAGGAAGTTTCGGGAACTGTCTAGGCACACTTATTGGCAAACCTGTTTTACTGCAGGAAAATATTGCGGACCATGTGGACGACGAGCACAGGAAAGACACTTGTATGAGAGAATTAGAAATCAGAAGTTTTGCTGTACTTAGAATTACTTCTATAAAACTTCAACTGCCTTTTTGCCTTCCACATTTCATTAACTCTTGTGTTTTACCAAGATGAGGTGATCTCTAAAATAGGTGGCTTAATGAGGATGAATCCGTTTTGGGGAAACTGTATTTTTGCATTGAATTTATTGTATGATTTTCTTAGTAGAGACATGATCTGAGTAGCTCGCAGGGTTCTCATTTGTCCTGGGAAGGCCTTGGGGAAAATTTCCTGGCTCTCTTCAAAGTTACAAACAAAAATTGCAGCAAGGAGGGCGATCATCTCAGTGAGCCTCATTTAGTTCATTTCTGTAGCACTAAGGGTATAAAACCTGTCACATTGTATCTTTGCCTTATGTCAGGCTCTTCCAGGCATCTAGACATAATTTTTCTCCAACTCCTATTAAAAAAGTAGGAAAGGAATGCACATAACCTCTTCTTTATACTCTAAGTCTATATCAGAAATACAGATTTTCTTTTCTTTTTACCTTTTTACCTTTTCCACTACTGATTTTTTACATTTTCCACCCACCTAAAGTTTACCATAGTTTGACTCATGTTGACGTGGGCCTAGTTCTCAAAGTAATAGATGTACAGAGAAGGCAGAAACTGCCCGTCACAGAAGAAAAGAGCAAGAGTCAATTTTGTAATTCAGGCTCTCGAAGAGGAAGATTTGGGTCTTAGGAAAAATTTTTATAGATACAGTCAGATAAATAAGAATTGTGTGGGATAACCCTATACTTCCTCCTCAATTCAGCAGCTAAATATTCTACTTGGAATCGACTTATTTTTAGAGAGGCCAGCTGAAGTGAAAGGATGCTCCGTGCTTCACTTTGATATGGATCTTTCCTCAAATCTTCTGGGATCATCTTTTATGTATTGTTTTATGATACTTTTAGGGTCTTGTATGGACCTGCATTTCTGGCTTTTTCTCACATTTATTTTGAGAGTATTTTTTGTAAACACAGTTTTGCTGACAAGAGCCCCAGCTTTGGCCAGCTCTAAATGGCTTCTGTTGTCGTAGTTACAGCACAGGCACAGTCGTGCAGTCATCAAATTTCCCAGATGACGTATTTGGATTAACTTAGGTCAATAGTGTTTGTCACAAAGATGACAGTTACAAACCTTTCATTAGTCTGAGATTGACTTCAGAATGCAGTAATCCTTAGGTTCTGAAGCCAGGTATTAGTCAATGTAGAGATCATTGGTACAGTGACATCATTAGTTCCTAAGATCTCACTCCACCCCAAGTGTGTTTCATAGAACACACATCTCTGAAATACGAAATTTGAGAAGCCTGCTCATACCAGCCTCTTCTTGGAGATTTCCAGTACCCATTAAGCTCTCTCAGAAGTGCTGCAATAAAGAAGCCTGTTTAATTTAAACATTTCTTCAACTTATTTCAGTATGGAGCTCTTTGTTTGGTTTTGGGATTTTGTTTGTTTTTGTTTTGTTTTGTTGCTTAATATCTGTTAACATTCTGAAAAGGATGCCTCTGGAAATATTGCTCCAATCCACGGAGTCTGATAAGGACTAGCTGGCTGTGTAATCATGGGCCTTGATAAATACCATGCAACAAGTTTCCCGAGTGTCCCTTGGTTGACTAAGCATCGAGATGTCTCTCAGACTTTACTACTCTCTTTTACTGACTTTGAAGAAAGGGTTGTTCTCCGAGTTCCAAGGACCTAGCTCAGGCACCAGCTCAGTATTACTATGTTTGAGGCATGTGGAAATGTGGGCAACCCATTAAGGAACAGCCACCAGATTACGAGTGCCTGTGAACTCCATCAAACCGCAGCAAGATTTAAATTGTGCTAAGTCAGATACCACAGGACAGCAGATATAGATGTGTTTAGATAGAAATTTAAGACTGTTTTGTCACAGCAGATAACATGGACCTTTAAAGCCCACTGTGAGCCCAGCAATCTTCCTGAAGGTGAGTGTGTCATTTGAGAAAGAAAAGGAACGTTGTGTTATTTGGGTTGCTGTTGTGCTGGCCTTATCCCACCCACTACCTCCTTTGCTTTACACAGCCACCCGGTGAGCTAGGTGTTATTTTGGCCGTGATTCAGAAGAGAAAAGTGAAGCTCAGAGTTCACAAGCTGCCTGAGGCCACTAGCTAGTAGGCAGTGCATCTAGGACCTGAACCCAAACCCGTATGATTTCCAGCCTATACTCTCTTCTTACTAAGCCTGTGCTAAGTCTCACCAAACTCCTATGCAGAGAATGCATGCCACAGTTTTCCAAGTCTGATACCACACATCTCCATATTTTACTCTTTCCTGTAGGTCACCTCTCCTGGCTCTCGTGCATTCCGGATGCTTTGCCCACCAACTGCATCTAGGGACTCCTAGAATACAATAGCATTTGTGTGAAAGCTTGATTTGAAGTCCCTCTTTTGACTCATCTGACAAATTTCTAAAGCAGTCGACTATATGTTACTGGGTTATAAACAGATTTTTACTACAACATTCTTTGTTAGAACTAGTATTCCTAAATAAGTCTGAGAAGCACCGTGTTAAACAAAATGGAGTACTTTTTTTTTTTTAATAACAGAACTTGTTAGAGCCAATTTGTACAAAGAATCTTTAAGGGGGGCACAGAGTAGAGTTGCCATATATTTGTGATGATCAGAAATTTCTCGGAGGAACCGTCAGGAATGTCTCTTAGAATGTTACTACCAGGAAATGCTCGTTAAATCCGGTAGCCTGCTCACAGTAATTTTTATTTTGGAGGGTTGGTTTTGAACAGTAGTAGTGACTTAAGTCATAAAATATGTTGCTAAAATAACATGGTATGAACAATGCCCTCACTTTAAAAAGAGTTGGTACTCATCCGTTGCTGTTGGATGAATCTGTGCCCAAGGGAGAGTCCTAGACACAATAACATGTATCGCTCTGGTACTGTGTATTTCAAAATAAGAAAAACTCATTCAGCTAGATTTTGGTGAAAAACATTGTCCCTATCTCCTATTTAGTTTAATAGTCAACATAGTCCCCATAGTCCCCATAAATACTGTTCATTCTGAATTTTCCATTTTTTGTCTTTTATTTCCCTATTCTTTCCATGATATCATGTACAATAAATCTTTTTTAGAAGAATAAAGTTCACTGTCTCATACTTCATATATTCTAGTTACAAAACCTGCTTCTCACTTAGATTTAGTTTAAAACTCTCATTTTTAGATACTTGTTATAATAACGCTTTGTCTTCTTGGCTCTCCAGGAAACAGATGTGTTACCAGACACCAGGCTTTTGGACAAGTTTAGTCAGATTACACCTCAGCTCTTTGCCCCACTAGATGAGACTCTCCCAAATCCACCACCGGAGACTTGGTACATCATCGACTTCTTTATTGCTTTGGCAATTTGCAACACAGTAGTGGTTTCTGCTCCTAACCAACCACGGCAAAAGGTAAGGTCTCTAATGCAAACCAAAGTGACCTTCCAGAAGAGAACCTTGGGTTTAAATGTATCTGTACGGGTCTTGTTATGTGGACAGTAATTAATAATAATAATAGCAACTAGTAGTACCAGCTTAACATTTATACAGCAGTTGGTCTGTGTTCTGCACTTATTGTGCTCTAAGTGATTTATGGTATTAACGTCTTTAATCCTCCCACCAACCCCATTAGTTAGGTACTATTACTCTACTGTAATTTTCTCTTCTACAGTTGAGGTTAGATAACTTGCCCACTCATAGGATGGTTTTGTGGGAAGGTGGGATTTGAACCCAGGAAGTGTGGCTCAATGCTACTGCACTATTTTGCCTCTAGGAGGGTAGCTGATGAAAGTGGTTCTTGTGGAATGTGGATCTGTTCACCTTGCTTTAGTTTTCTTACCAAATGGAAGCTTTCTTTGAGATTTCTGAGACCCCCAACATAGTATGCACTGCATCGAGCAAGATACAAAGTATTGTATTTATTATCATGTGTAATGAGAATGTACCTTTTCAAGTAGCAGTTGAGTTAGTTTTAAATCAACCCATCTAAAATCCGATGCATCTGTTATATACCAAGGTTCTGCAATTCCCACAAAAGCTGGATTTCTAAAGTCTATCTGTAGCTTAGAATTCATGGAAAATTCATTTTCAGTTAAGAAGAAAAACTTGTTTTAGAGCCTGGTGATTCACCACTTGCTGTGCTGGCTTCCTTGTGTATAACTATCTCCCGTTTTGCACACATCCACTTAAAATTCAATTTGCAGCACAACCCAATTAAATTTTAATTTTCCATCAGATCATTTTCTTTTGGCAACTTCAGGGGTGGTCAACTTTAACATAAAAAATAATTTACTTCCAATTAAGCTTTCATTTGATCAGAAACTGTATTTTTATAAGATTTCAACTAGAAAGTTGCCCTTTGCAAAGTGATTGTATAATTAGAGAATGAATTGCTGGATTCCATTTTCTCCCAGTATAACACTTTATATACATCTATTTCCAAGTAGACATCTTTTGGTGTTTCCTGCTTAAGAAACATTGGTACTTTATCCCCAAAGAATATAATATTCTATGGCCAAAAGTAAAATCTCTATAGGAATATAGGAGCCCAAGTTTCATAATATTTCAAGGTATTGATAGGAAGGCAGTGAAAAAGGAACTAATCAGAATTCTGGTGAAACCCAGAAACCTCATCTGTGATTGAGCTTCAGTTTGTAAGCTGACCATCATGAGTTCTTCAAACTATCATAAAATTAATAATTTTAGAAGAAAGCTTTTTAATTCCTTGGGCACTTCTGAATGAGAAATTTTTAGGACCCAATTAATTGCTCTTCCTAATCTAATATGCTGTTATTAAATACTTACTTTGCTTACAATTTTTAAATTGTTATTGCTAAGATGCATACAATAAAGATTATGGATTTGCCTGGCCGGGCGTGGCTCAGTGGTTGAGCATCAACCTATGATCCAGGAGATCACAGTTTGATTCCCGGTCAGGGCACATGCCCAGGTTGCAGGCTCCATCCCCAGTTGGAGATATAAAGGAGGCAGTGAATCAATGACTCTCATCATTGATGTTTCAACTCTCTCTCTCCCTCTCCCTTCCTCTCTCTGAAATCAATAAAGATATATTAAAAAAAAAAAAAAAGATTATGGACTTTTCTATAAATTAGCCCATGAGGAATAATTGCTAATAAGTACACATACTGCCAGCAATATTAGCATTTTATGTCTTTTGCTATCATTTGTCAAGTTTCTTCTAAATGGTTGTAGAAATTCATAATACCCTCAACATTAGCACATCATTTTCATTATGGCTATTTTCATTCTTGATAATGTTTTCTGTGGTAGTTATAAGCAGGAAGCAGGCTGCTATCTATTTAAGGGAGTGGTAACTCTTTGTATCTGATTTTTCCCCAGTTTGACTTCACCATTGTCTTAAAATGCTTTTGACCTTCCCAAATTCTTTCCTAGATCCGACTCTCTTCACTGAGTGGAATGCCCATTAAGTCTTTGGAAGAGATTAAAAACCTTTTCCAGAGACTATCTGTCCGAAGATCAAGTTCACCATCTCTTGCCAGTGGGAAAGAGCCATCTCCTGGGGTCCAAAACGCCTTCGTGAGCAAACTCTCTCTCTTCAGTCGAACAAAACTGGCTTCGCCTGTGGAGGAAGCGGTGTCCCGGACAGCAGACAGCCCTCAGGGTTCTGGTAGCTCAGCTGGCCCTACGGAAAAAGAGAAACAAAATGGTGATGCAGGCATCACCAGTGGCAAGGCAGACTCCCTCCCTGGACAGCCCGTGACCTCCAGTCTGTGTTACGAGGCCGAGAGCCCGGATGAGGCGGCCTTGGTGTACGCCGCCCGGGCTTACCAGTGCACTTTACAGTCCCGGACACCAGAGCAGGTCATGGTGGACTTTGCTGCTCTGGGACCATTAACATTTCAACTCCTGCACATCCTGCCCTTCGACTCAGTGAGAAAAAGAATGTCTGTGGTGGTCCGGCACCCTCTTTCCAACCAAGTTGTGGTGTACACAAAGGGTGCTGATTCTGTAATCATGGAATTGCTGTCCGTGGCTTCCGCAGGTGGGTTCACATGGAACTGAGAGGGTGGAGAGATGAAGGGCTTAGACGAAAAGACCACTGTCTGGTTTTATGAAAGCAAACAAGCAGCTGTGTGGGGATCAGTCACACTTGGTGAAGTAGGGAAGGCTCGCTAGGATTGGGTGAGAAAGCATCTAAGCTTTGGGACTACCTAGACCGGGGTTCAAATGTGGCCTCTGTCATTAGCTATGTCTTGATAAAATTATATGACTTCTGTGCCTAAGTCTTCAGTAAATGGGGGTGATAGTACCTTCTTTATAGGTCCCTCAGAGGTTTAACATCATACTGTATGCAATATATACAGCCTTTGCCCAATGCCAAGCAAAGTGTAAGTGCCCGACGAGTGACTGGCGGCATTATTGTAGCTATTGTTATTGCTGTTATCGATGGTGAGGGAACAGTGTTGGTATGGCCTTCTTGGTATTTTCCCGTTTCTCTCCCCAGGGAGACAAGGAACAAGGGAAAGATTAATTCTGAGGGTCCCTTTTATAAATGTACATTTGAGATTCAAACTACAAGGCCTTTTGCTTGTTGTGGGTTAAGCTGTTATTGTTTTTAAAAATACGTCTGTAATTGGGCAGACCAATGGCAACACTTGTGTTTTGTTAATTATTTCAGATGGAGCAAGTCTGGAAAAACAACAGATGGTAATAAGGGAGAAAACGCAGAAACACTTGGATGACTATGCCAAACGAGGCCTACGCACTTTATGTATAGCAAAGAAGGTGAGGCTGCTTAGCACACTACCGCTCTTGCCCTCAAGGTAATTTGATTTAAGAGAACCTGACATCCACAGGGCTACATTTTAATCAGGTGTAGGATCATTTCACTGAAAAGACAGAGGGTCTCTTTTGATCTTGAATCCCCCATTCTTACAACTGTTGGAATAGATAGAAAGTGCCTTGCCCTCTACTCCAGCTGCTTTATAAGAACTTAAAAGTAGATTTCTCCCTCTGGCAACCTAAAGACAAAAGGAACATGGATCATTTGTTCCTTCTCAAGGAATTCCACTTATTTTTATTTGGAACACTACTTTCTTGCTTCACCAACCCCATAAGCCAACTATCAGAAGACATCAGAGGTGCCGCTGACTTGATACACCTCAAACTGAACAATCTTGACACCATTAGAATCATCCTGAACTTTAAGTGGCTACTTCTCCCCACTGCATACTTTATGGTTTAATTAAATAGATGAACCCAATTTCCTCTTGTATGGTGCCTAGAATTTTCCAGAGATGCTGAGCTATAGGGTCTGTCCATCATCAGTGTTACACTAGGCTGATCAAAGAATTCGGGAAGCTTATGACGAGGTATGTGAGGGTATGGACCTGACATGAGTGTGCCCAGAGAGAGGAATACCTAAAATAAGTCGATGGCTTGACATTTCTCCAGGAGTCAGTTCTGACAAGCTCATCACATGCCTGCCTCTCTGCTCTTTCCTTCCCCCATAGGTCATGAGTGACACTGAATATGAAGAGTGGCTGAGGAATCACTTTTTAGCTGAAACCAGCATTGACAACAGGGAAGAATTACTGCTTGAATCTGCCAGGAGGTTGGAGAACAAACTGACTCTACTTGGTAGGTAGACTATGTTGTATTTTCTGAATGCAGAATTTTGAAAAACATTTGCCATTTCTAAGTTACTCACCAGCGCCTTTCCCCCCTACTTTGATCTAGTAGATATATGTGGTTCTGTACACTCTGTCCAGTCTCATCTCTATCCAGCTTCCAATGCTTTGTATTCTGTTTCCCACTGCAGCGAGCTCGACTTTCAGCTGTGGTCAAGTCAGGGTGGTCTTTCCTAAGAAGGTCATTTAAAACCCCAACACTTAACATAGAGTACAAAGTCCAATAAATATCCTTGTTCAAGAGAAGAAAGCCAAAGTGTCTTGCCAGGCAGTAGATAAGTTACTTAATATATGTTATCTTTTTAAATCTGCACAACAAGTCTTCATTTTATTTAGAAGAAACTTGGGGCACAGAGCATTTCAATGACTTGTCCAAAGTCCCAAGCTCACAACTGACAAAGCTAGAAAGAAACTCTGGTCCTTCTGGCTCCAGGGCCCGTGTTCTTTAGTTTGCACCTGCAGCTGGACTAATGAAATTTATTTCTCTGTCTTCTTTTCCTGATTTCAGTGAACAACGGGCACCTCTTGTGTAAGATTGAGCTGCATCCTGAAATCTTCTGGAGCGCTATTAAAAACACTGGTGCCTGCATCTTTTTCCCAGGAGTTCTGATTCAGTTGCTCTGATGTGTGGCCTGGACCTTTGAATTTTTAAAAGCTCCCCAAGTAATTCTAAGAGGCAGACAAAGCTGGGAACCACTGCCTTAAAGTCTGGAGATCTAGTTTCCAACATAAGCACTAACACACCAAGAGACCAACTGAGCCCCATTCCTCTGGTTGGGAGGAGAACAGGGATCACTTAGCATCTGGGCGATAGAGTGGTGATGCCCACTGCTCAGTCATTTTTCGGTGCCACGGTGACTACTCGGGGTCCACATTTCCTCACCTGAAATTCCAAACTGGAAAATGCTCTGTGGGCTGAGGGCCAGAACTCATGTGGCAGCAAAACCAGGCCTGATTTGATAAGAGTGTTTATAAGTCATTACCCTAATTAGTGTGAACATTTATATGTTTTGCTGCAGAAATATTAATGTTAGATTATCAGATATTACAAAATATAATATATGCACCTTATTACCTTTATAAAATCTGCAAAACTTTTGAATTCTAATACTTATCTTGCCCCATTGCAGAAAAAGGATCTGTGGACTTATACTATGAAAGAGCATTGAAAATTGATATTATGTCTTACTGACAAGAGCATTCTATATATGTATATATATAAATTTTTAAAATTTATCTTTATTGAAAATTTTACAGGTGTCCCCTTTTTTTCCCCCATTGATCCCCTNGTGCAGAGAAAGCTATTCATCTTTGCAGTGGCCCTGAATCTCTTGGGAGCAAGACCAATTTAAGGTTTTTAAAAATATGTTTTTTATTTATTTTTTATAGTTTATCTTTATTGTTGAAAGTATTACAGATGTCCCCTTTTTTTCTCCCATTGACCCCCTCCATCCTGCTCCTGCCCCCTCCCCAGGCTTTCACCACACTATTGTCTGTGTCCATGGGTTATGTATATATGCATATAAGTTCTTTGGTTAATCTCTTCCTATCCCCCTACTCTTTCCCCTGTTATACATCAGTCTATTCCATGCTTCAATTTCTCTGGGTCTATTTTGTTCTTCAGTTTATTTTGTTCATTAGATTTCACATAAAAGTGAGATCATGTGATATTTGTCTTTCTCTGACTGGCTTATTTCACTTAGCATAGTACTCTTCAGGTCCCTCCATGCTGTCTCAAAAGGTAAGAAATCTTAAAAAAGAAGGTGCATAGTATTCAGCTGCGTAGTATTCCATGGTGTAAATGTACCATATTTTTTTATCCACTCATCTACTGATAGGCACTTGGGCTGTTCCCAGATCTTAGCTATTGTAGACTGCGCTGCTGTGAACATAGGGGTACATATATTCTTTCTGATTAGTGTTTCAGGATTCTTAGGATATATTCCTAGAAGTAGGATCACTGGGTCAAAAGGCAGCTCCATTTCTAATTTTTTGAGGAACCTCCATACTGTTTTCCATAGTGGCTGCTCCAGTCTGCATTCCCACCAGCAGTGTATCAGGGTTCACCTTTCTCCACACTCTTGCCAGCACTTGTTGGTGGCAGCCATTCTGACAGGTGTGAGCTGGTACCTCATTGTGGTGTTAATTTGCATCTCTCTGATGATTAGTGACATTGAGCACTTTTTCATGTCACAAGAGCATTCTTTAAAAGTCTGCCCTTACCCTTGAGAGTATCATAGAATTATAAAATTGTAGAGCAAGGTTACAAAGTAACTGAAGTAATTCCCCCTCAATTTACAGAGAGGAAAGCTAGCCAAAAGGAGAACAAGTGAGTTTGATAAACTTTTTGATTCCTAAGGCTTCCTTCAGAAAATATCACTTTGTATATGATTTTAGTCTGGGTCTTCACACTTCCTGTGGATCCCTGGAAGTTACTGGAGCAAGATTGGGTTGGCTAACAGATATGGTCCAGTTACAGCCTAGGTGACCTTCAGCTGGCTTTAGTTTCTTACAAGCCCTGTGCACTCTGGTGAATTTTTAGGTGCTACTGGCATTGAAGACCGTCTGCAGGAGGGAGTCCCCGAGTCCATAGATGCCCTTCACAAAGCCGGCATCAAGATCTGGATGCTAACAGGGGACAAGCAGGAGACAGCTGTCAACATCGCTTATGCATGCAAATTGCTGGAGCCCGATGACAAGCTCTTTATCCTCAACACCCAGAGTAAAGTATGTGTCATGAGATTAAACCAGCCATTTTTGTTTTTTCAAAGCCAGTGGAGCATTTGTGATTTGATGAATGTAAGGAGAAAGAAAAACCGGTAACTATTAGCTCCTTGATAATTATTTATTCTACCCAGCAGCCTAGCTCATGCTTGGGGGAGGGCATCAGAGTTTTTCCAAAGGCTTGGTGAAACATCAGAATGATTCAGAGGAATCATTGCTGAATAAAGGGATTAAAAGAAAGTTTCTTTTTAATTCCCCCCCCCCCCATCTCTTATTGGGTGGGTTACCAGGGATTTGACAAAACTTAGCCCATAATGACAAAATATATCAAGCTCTGGAACAGGAATCTACCTCCCTTTCAAGTTGAGGGGAAGTGATGATTTCTATTGGAATCAGGTGAATAAATTAATATTTTCATGGTAATTCTAAAAATAGACTCTCAGGGTAAGCTTGCCCTCTAGTGGTGATTCTTGTATAGTGCTCCTGAGAATTTCAAAAGTTTGAAAAACTTTATGGGAAGGGAAAATGGGTAGTTTTTGTGTGTTGTTTTTTTTTTAAGGAAAAGGAACTTGAAGGTTTGGACCCAACTGTTTTTTCTCAACGTTCTCCCTCCTATCCCCCCACACCCCACCCAATCTCTAACACAAATGTTCTAATCAATAAACAAGCGTTTTACTTATTTTTTTCAGAAGACTTCTAGTATAGTGATAGTCTAAGATTTATGCATGTTGTTTAATTAGCTTGGAAAACCTTCCTCATGCCTTCCTCAGTAATCAGACTTAATCACTGACGTCCATTCCGTCACGGCAGCCTGCTTCTCACATCTCTGGAGCTTCTCATCTGATCGTGTTTTATTTTTGACCTTTGTCACAGGCTGTCATGTTCAGTTAGCCACGTTAGCCATGTTTTTATGATCAGGCCTCAGTCAATATCCAACCAGACTGTACACTTTAAGGAAATAAAATTTTCCATAATCCACACAGAGTAGGTTCTCTTCATTAGTTCGCAGTGGCCCAGGGACACCTAACCACTACTACCAGCCACCTCCCAGTACCAGCCCAGGGCTGAGCACAAAAAAATGCTTAGTCATTGTAATCACTAAATTGGGTGTACCCTAAAGCTGATAAGACCCAGGTTCAAATACTTGGCCTGCCAGTGACCAGGTATGTGACCTTGGGGAGTTACCCTCCTGAGCCTTTTTCCTTACCTATAACGTGAGAGTAACGCCTATTTCATGAGGTCGATGAAGACATTAAATGAAAATATGTAAATTGGTTAATGTTTTGCCTGGCAGGTGCAAGGAGTTCAATGAACATTAAAAAGGAAAAGTAATCAGTTCTTGGTGTTTGATTTTGACTTTGACATTTTCTTAAGCAGTAACATGTTTAAGATTGTGAAATTTATTTGTAAATATACAATTTATGGTAAAAGCATTTAACACTACCAATCCAAGAAGGCTTCACAGCCTATCAACTGTGGGCTATTCTGAGTGCTACCAATAGCTATTCTACCTGTGTGAATTTCAGAATAACTATAAACAGAACACAGTGGGCTTAGTTTAGTTTTATGATCACTCAAGTCCATGCATGTAAAATGCCAGGCACATAGTAGTTCTGATGATTTGCTTAAGCACCTTCAGCTGATTACTTGTCGAGTCTGCTTTTAATAGAACAGTATAGATTACATAATCTGTATTTATCTGATTACTTGTCAAGTCTGCTTTCTATAGAACTGTATATATTACATAATCTGTATTTATCTGTCTATATATTTATATACAGTTGACTCTCAATTATTCATTGAGTTATGTAAAGTTGTCACAAACACTGAGTTAGTGAATAGTGATCCATTACCCCTTGGGAAAATACAGGATTAGGACCTCACGAGCCTCTGGTCACACTTTTTTGCCAATCAGTCAATACATAACCTTGTTTCATGTGTGTTTCTGTTTAAAAACACCTCATTATGCACACACACATTTGATTTACTAACATTGAACAGCACTGTAACTCATACCTGAACAAAGCTTATCTAACACACGTATTTTCTCCATGAGGGACATTGTAGCTTTCTTGTGCATAGGAACACTAGACAGCACTTCAGGGCTGTACTTGGAGACCATTTGATTTATTTATTTATTTATTATTTTTTATATATCTTTATTGATTTCAGAGAGAGGAAAGGAGAGAGAGAGATAGAAACATCAATGATGAGAGTCATTGATCAGCTGCCTAGCCCGCAACCCGGGCATGTGCCCTGACCGGTAATCGAACCCCAATCGCCTGGATCCTAGGTCGACTCTCAACCGCTGAGCCATGCCCGGCCGGGCTGGAGACCATTTTAAACAGTGAAATCACCAACAAAAAGCACCAAAATGTGTCACCAAACAGATAATGGAAAGAACACTTGTGGACAGTTTGGGAGCTGACATAAGAAGACAGAGTGTCCCCTTGTTCAGCTTCGGTTGGAAAGGTGCACGACTTAGGCTCACATTTTTTGTCACTCTGTCTGTGTCCACAGATGGCTGCAAAAGCACCATGAGTATTGATTGTAGGATTTCAGACAAATTTCAGCAAGTAGGTGAAATCACAAATCCCACAAATAATGAAGGTCAACTACCTGTTTGTGTACATACACACTTCTGAAAGTACCTTTAATTTATAAAATTAAACACATACATATGCAAATAAGAGGATTAGACCATCTGTGTAATCAATCTAGAATCATAATACTACAGAAAATTTGCATCTGTAATTTGGAAGGCATCCATTCAGACTGCATCCTGTACACTGTGAGCGTATAAAGGCTACAAAGACTGTGTTTGTAGAATTGGGATCAGATTTGCTCCAAAGGTAAAGGTTGCCAGGTATCTCCATTTTGAAGTGGAATCTCTTGTTTATAGTTTATGCAGTTAATCTTTGCTGTGTCATGCCTACATACCCATATCTGCTTCTTCCCTACCTATTTCATTTTGTTGAGGGTTGAGAAATGCTTGATAAAATAGCATTTGAAATAAGAATAAATGGCCTCTGAGTGAGGGACTCTTTCATGAATAAAGTATTTCAAGTTTAGTATTAGCATATAAACATAAATGCACTGCTCCTGGATTTCACTTGGCTCTGTTCTTAGGGGTCACTTGACACAATTTCTGGATAAGTTGATTGTTAGTCTTGAGTATAATCTATTCAGTGAATACTGACTGAGTGCCTGATGTGGCCCTTTTAGGCATTAGAAGAACTTCCTAACTAGTGTGAGTGAGGCGAGTGGAGGGATGCGCACCCACCACATGTGATAAGCACCACTAAGAACATCTCAACCAGAATATCCTCTCCGTGAGGGCCGGGATTTTTGTGTTTATTGGCATAGCCCCAGCACCTAGAATGCTTTCTAACATACAGTAGTTCCTCTATAAATACTTAGTGAGTAAATGGATGAGTGAATGAATGCATTTAATCAAAAAGAAGATAAAAACAATAACTACTGATTTAAATTCGGCTATGTGTCATGCCTCACACTAAGAGCTTTTTACGCATTATTTCACGTATTCCTCACAGTAATGTTATGATGTAGACAATGTTTGCATTTTTCAGATGAGAACCTTGGGGTTACATGATTTGCCTAAAGTCAAGCAGCTAGTAACTGGCAGAATAAGACCAAAGGGCTCTTGAGATTCACTATTTGAGAAGGTAAATTCCACAAATAAAGGAATTCTGTAGCTGTTTCTTAGCTGTAGAATTGGGCATGAGATGACCCCATCCTTTTAATTGCTCCCCACATGCACACAGAAGTCATTGTGAAAGAGCTGTCAGGTCTTCTAAAGTGACCAGGGATTGCCTTGATGCAGTAATTGCTGAAGTATGACAATGACAAATTCAGCTGGATGTGGCCACCAAGGAGCCCCAAGGCTAACTGTCTTTGCCTCTTGTTTCAAGGATGCCTGTGAGATGCTGATGGGCACAATTTTGAAAGAACTTCAGAAGAAGAATCCAGCCTTCCCCAAGCAAGCATCGTTAAGCAAGGATTTATACCAGCCTTCTGCTCCCCAGGGCTCAGGGCTGCGTGCTGGACTCGTTATCACTGGGAAGACCCTGGAGTTTGCCCTGCAGGAGAGTCTGCAGAGGCAGTTCCTGGAGCTGACAGCTTGCTGTCAAGCTGTGGTCTGCTGCCGAGCCACACCCCTGCAGAAAAGCGAGGTGGTGAAACTGGTACGCAACCATCTCCGGGTGATGACCCTGGCCATTGGTGAGTGGGGATGGAACCCTGCCCTGTGCTTCTCACTTTCCTGCCGTACCACGGGCTGATCCTTCTGTCTGTTCTTCCTTCTGTTTATCTATAGGGTGTCCTGAAAAAATCTATACACACTTTGAATGATTATGAAGTCAGTGTTTATTAACATACAGTTCATTTTAAAAACTTTAAAGAATATAGAGAAAGAAATAATTTATTTTTTATCAATGCCTATTTTGAAACTGATAACCATTCTGGTCCACGCACTGCTGATAACATGAAGCAATGGAATCACAAACATCAAGAATCATTTCATTTGGTACTTGTGCGCCCTCAATTCATCAGCTGTTGCCAGTTTTGTACCGTAAACTTTATCTTTTATGTATCCCCATAAAAAAGTCTAGTGGATGAATTTTCTTTGTTCAAAGCTTAGTCTGGCTTCACCCATTATCTCAAATCAGTTAAACCTGAAAAGGAGTGAGAATTAAGTGAGTTATCAGCTATTAAAGTGTGTATACATTTGGGGGGTATACATGGTATACACATTTTGAGTATATACACTTTGAATAATGTGTACACACTTTGAATAATTATAAAGGCAGTGTTTGTATTTCAACTGCATTTTCAAACTTTCAGTAGCATTTTAGGATGAATTTCCTTTGTTCAAAGCTTAGCCTGGCTAAAAAGAAAGGAACATCAATTGAGCATCAGCTGTTAAAGTGTGTGTATATGTTTTTGGGACACTCTGTATTTACCCTTCTGGCTGGCTGTGCTTTCCCTTTCCTTTTTCTTCCTTCATTCTCTCCATCCCTCCCCCCCCTTCCTCTTTTCCTTCATCACCTATTTGATCACCTGCTATGAACCAGGTGGTGGGGATATGACAGTATAATAGTCAAGATGCTTTGGGTTGCATGTTAGTAACGCAAATCATCTGGGTTAAGGAGGGTAATATATTGAATCACAGAACTGAAAAAATCTAGGAGTGCTACCTTCCGGAAAGTTTAATTCAGGGACATGAACAATTCATTTATTTATCTATTTAACAAATATTTATTGAGTGCCTTCTATGTGCCAGGCATTTTTCTAGGCAGTGGAGCTACAAGAGTATATACAACTGACAAAGGGCCATTTCTTAAGGAGCTTATATCTAGTAGGAGGGCATATAATGAACAAATGAAATAAAACAAAAAAGCATAAATACAGGGTGTCCCCAAAAAATGTATACACACTTTAACAGCTGATAGCTCAATTGATGTTGGGCGTCTTTCTGTACACCAAAAGGTTGCCAGTTCGATTCTTGGTCAGAGCATATGCCCAGGTTTTCGGCATGATCCCTAGTAGGGGGCGTGCAGGAGGCAGCAGATCAATGTTATACTCTCACAGTGATGTTTCTCCTCCTCTCTTCCTCTCCCTTCCTCTCTCACTAAGAATCAATATAAAGATCTTTAAAAATAAAAATAAAAAAGAATAGAGAAACAGCATGTGCAGTGCTGAAAGAAGCAGGTTATATCTGGAAAATTGAAAGTAGAGTGGGTGGCATGGAGAAAGGAGAGGTGAGTCCAAAAAGAAGCCATAGCATGAAGGATTTTAAGGCAGTATTGAATTTGGAATTCATCCTGATGGTAGTGGGATGCCACATTTAATTTCTGCTTAACTAGCTTCCAGGTAACTTGGAGACATGGGATGTACTTTGAAGGATGTGTTTGTTTTCTTGAATGGTCAATATTGATTTGCAAAGTTTGCATCATTTCTTTACTCCTCGTATGTTTCTCACCTTTTTTTCTGTCCCATAAGGTGATGGTGCCAATGATGTTAGCATGATACAAGTGGCAGACATTGGGATAGGGATCTCAGGTCAAGAAGGCATGCAGGTGAGTGGATGTCGTGCACCCAAATTCCATGAACTTGACCTGCCCACCCAAGGCAACATTCTTCATGGTAAAAGCTCTGTGGTTTTATGGTAGAATGAGGCTGTTTGGTTAGCTCAGGAGCGGGAGACAGGAAGTCTATCCAATCATTTGCTGATTATTTACTGGGTAAGTATTATGGTATTTTCCAGGCTAATTTTAGCTCTGTGGTTTACTTGCTCAGTTTAAAAAATTAACTGATCTAGATCATATATATATAGATGTATATATATATAGAGGGAGAGATATACATGTTAGCCCCGCAATAACAATGTGACTTTTGCAACTGACAAGAACAGCTGAGGATTTGAATAAAAGATCTAAAGATCCTAAAGAGAAAGGGAGAGAAGGAGAAGACGACAGAGTGAGGGAGGTGGGAGTGTCCCATTTGCATGCATGTATGCGTGGGTTCCTATGTGTTGGATAGTGTTTTAGATACAAAATTCAGATAGAAGCTTATCCAAGAGATTGCTTTTTGTGCAACTGTTGTCAGAGGAAGATGAGATGTGAGACTTAGGATTTCTCCAAAATTCTAGATTATAATACCTGTACAAAAGATTAGAAATTCAAGTATCTGTTTGCTAGACACTTTATACATAAAATCCTGGCTGCAATTTTGATATTCTCATCGTTGAGGAGAAGTGAATGCTACAGAAGTTCTTGCTAAGAGAGCTGCTTTTTAGGGAAAGTACGCTTGCTGAAGTTACATCACGAGTAGTAACCAAGAAGTCATGTTTCATTCGACCATATTGGAAAGCTGAGTAGTAACCTGAGGCAACCCGTTAAAGCTTTTGTAAGGGTTTTGTTTGTTTGGGGGTTTTTGTTTTTGGGAAGGTGTTTCTTTTTTTTTTGGTCTGCATGTAAGGTTTAAACCACGCATTTGACTGATCTGAGCCTGGAGGTGATCGGGCTGCCGTGCTGTGTCTGCTCTAACATGTTCCATTGCTCAGGGTGGCCTTCTCTTCTCTGCCTCCGCAGGCTGTGATGGCCAGTGACTTTGCCGTTTCTCAGTTTAAACATCTCAGCAAGCTCCTTCTCGTCCACGGGCACTGGTGTTACACACGACTTTCCAACATGATTCTCTATTTTTTCTACAAGAACGTGGTATGTAGCTCCAGAGAATTTATCCCTTCCCACCTTTCAATGCTGCCCGCTTAGGGGATGAAAAGGAAGTGCCGTACCCGAAGCTCGCTTCTCTCATTGATGTGTTGAGGGCAGCAGGAGCACCCCTGCTGTCTCACCAGAAATAATCTGGGACTGTGCTATGTTTCAGCTGCTGACAGCCAGTTGCTAGGCTTGTCCATCTGCTAGCATGTCCTATTCCCTGTGCATTTAAATTCAATTAAGGCCTGTCTAGTTCATTTAAAATCCAATTTTTGACCTTCCGTATAAGGGTTGCCACAAGCAGCATTATGAAATGTTTAATACTACCTGTCAGTAGAGAATGAAAGGGTTTGCTTCCATTTTACATGAGCCACCAAAAAATATCCGCTGTCCCCAAATTGATGTCCCTTGTGTTAGCATTGAAGATACAGATGAAAACCCAGTACGATGCCTTAGCCTATAACTAGCTGGCATTCACAATGGGAGAATTCTCTAGCAAGCCTATAAAATATATTTGTGCTTGGTAGTTATTGGATAATAAAGAAACTTTATTTTGATTATGTAATTCCTAAAAGGGCAAAATTTGATGAAATGTCCTGGCTTCTAATCTTTGGCACACCACTTAAATGTAATTTTCTTCTTTTAAAAAACCATGTTTTCCCTGAACCCCCTTCTAGGTGGGGTGATCATGTAAATCTGTCATGTTTTATATACCAAATTTATTCTGTCTTTAAAGTCCAGATGTAGCATGTTAGTAGTAAACATAAATTAATATCACGCTGTTGAAATGCCATCTTTAGGGAAAAACAACTTTGATGGGTCACTTTTAGGATACCTTTCATGTGTGGTTTAGCTGCTTGTGTGTGTGTGTGTGTGTGTGTCTGTCTGTCTGTCTGTCTGCCTGTCAGCAGAAGCATTCTTTCCCCCTCAAGCACAATGAACTTTTTAGGAAACTCGCAGTACTTCACTAATTAGAATTAGCACATTCAGTCAAAGTTTAATAACACTTTGATACGTTATGAAAATTCTTGAAATGTATAATGTCTTTGTCCAAGTGTGTAATTCTGGGGAAAGCTGGGATTTACAATTAAAAATTTCAGAATTTATTGGTCAGTGAATTTTAAAAAGGAGCCCTTCTCCAGGTTTTTTGATTTTGTTTTTGTTTTTTTTAATAATTTTGCATTTTTCTACCTTATTTTCAATAGAGAAGGTAGAAAAATGAAAAGGTACTTAAAGCCCACTCCCCTCCCGCCTCCTTTTATCCAGACTAAACCCAAGGGTTAGGAATCACTAATAGAAAGAGATGCTACATGCCCTTGGAGAGAGGGAGTGGTTATTAGCAGAGATACATCACCAGGGAGCAGGGACCCTGTGGTCTTTCTGCTCCGTCACCCTTGCTGCCATTCACACTGACACCCTCTCGGCTTATTCTCTTACTTACCCAGCCCAAGAATGCTTTGTAAACTATGGAGAAAGGGGCAGGTACCAGGGCCATCTGAGTAGCTTATCTTTCGTAGACTGTGGTTCCTGGGTCTTGGACAACCTTTCAATACTGATGAGAACTGTGGATTCACTCCTCAGAACAGTGTCCCAAACCACGTGTACCTCAGATGAATAGGAGCTGGGCATGATGCATTTCTATGGACCCTAGACTAAGAAACGCTGTTCTTAGGACTGTGGCCCCTGTCCTAAGATACTCTGGCGTGTCTGTGATGCCAGTGATGACAGCATTTTAATATTTGTAATGCACTTTGCAGGTCATGAGCACTTTCTAACTTGATCTTGATACTAAGCCCCTAGTGGTGTAATTCTCATTTTCTAGACAAGGTAACCAAAATTCTGAGAGCTTAGGAAAATGGCCTGAAGTTAAATAATCAAACGGAAATGTCCCCAGGCCTTGAAAAAGGGCCCCCTACATCTAAGTCCAGAGCTTTTGCTTTCATGGACTTAGTTTCTCTGAGACAAAATAGGGAGGAAAGAGTGCAGGTGTATGTCCCTAGCCTCCAGGGTAACTAACTGCCCTGCTTTGCCTGGGAATGTCCCAGTTTGGGCAGTGAAAGTCTCATCTCCTGGGAGAGTCCTCAGTCCCAAGCAAACTGGGATGGTTGGCCACCCTGTTGCCACCATTCCATTTCATCACTAAAAAATAATTGTGAACCCAAAAGGCAAGAGAATGAACAACATGTGTTATATGCTGGCTACATACCAGGCACTGGTCTAAGTTCTTTTCATCTAGAGCCAAAATGTCTCAAGTTGAATACTCGGGCTGCCACTTATTAGCCAGGTAACTTTGGGTAAGTTTCAGATGGGGACAAGAAAAATTCCCAAGTTGTTGTGATGATCAAATGAATTCTCTGTAAAGCTCTTAGAACTGTGCCAGCACCACATGGTATGTGGGGGGTGTGTGTGTGTGTGTGTGTTCTTTAATAAAACATTTGTCCCCTGCCCCCCGCCGAAACAGCTGCATGGTAAGATGTGGTCTTCCTTTTGTAAGTACGGAAACTGCGCCGAGGTTGCGCTCACACGGCTGAGACCGGCGGTGTGGGGATGTGTGGTCCCACTCGCATTGTGGTTTCTAAGATGCAAATGTTCCTCTTTGTGTTCCTAGGCCTATGTGAACCTCCTTTTCTGGTACCAGTTCTTTTGTGGGTTTTCAGGAACATCCATGACTGACTATTGGGTCTTGATCTTCTTCAACCTCCTTTTCACGTCTGCCCCTCCCGTCATCTATGGTGTTTTGGAGAAAGACGTGTCTTCAGAGACCCTCATGCTACTGCCTGAACTTTACAGGAGTGGTCAGGAGTCAGAGGTAGGTGCTAAAGCGAAGATGCTTAGACCAGTGCACAGCCGATGTCGAAGTCGGGGCATTTTTCAGGTGGCCCAGCTCCAATATTTTGGTACAGGCAGAACTATTTAAAACTATTCAGGCCAGCATGGCTCAGTGGTTGAGCACTGACCTATGATCCAGGAGATCGAGATTCGATTCCCAGTCAGGGCACATGCCCGGGTTGCAGGCTCTGTTTCTCTCTCTCTCTCCCTCTCCCTTCTTCTCTGTGAAATCAGTAAAGACATATGTAAACTAAAATAAATTTTTTTAAAAACAACAGTTCAAATCATCTGGTTATTTCAGAAGATGTCTGTTAACATGGCAGATATTACATTATTCGCTTCAGGTATTACATTATTTACCTGATGATGAACGCAGGTAAAATTATGAAAGACCTCAAGTACTTATAAGAGCAAATCCAGTGTTTAGACCTGACAGCTAATAATATCTAGTATTTAAATGAGACAGGGATGTTTAGTAGTTTATTGTGCAAACTACTAAACATCCCTGTCTCATTTATCTCACAAAACACTCTGAGAGAGAACCTGGTATTGTTTCCTTTCTAAGATGAAGAATCTGGACCTCAAAGAAGTTAAGGAATTTTTCCAAAAATGTCAGTTAGAAAATAGCAGAACCAGTGCAAGACCCCTTCTCAGTCTTATTCCAAAGCCAAAGTTAAATTCTCCAGGTTCTACTGTCACACAAAACAGGAGAGTGATCTTAATGGCTCCCTCCCTCTCAAACCATGCCCTGCCTCCACTCTGTTGATGTTTTAGTCCTGCCAGCCTACCAGTGACATATCACTTACATCTGTCCCCCCTTTCCACCCTTCTCTCACTGCCCTGTTGTCTCTTGTCGATTAATTGAGTTAGCTGTCACAAAACTCTTTTCTTTCTAATTCACCTTTCACAAAAATAATAATCATGGTTACTATTGCATTTACTAGCACTTATGTAATGCCTCCTATATGCCAGGCACTGTTTTAAGTGCATAACATACATAAATCTAATCCTCAAAATCACCGTGCAAGACAGATACTATCATTACCCACATTGTAGGTGAGGAAAGTCAGGCACAGGGAGGCACCTTAAGTATCTGCCCAAGCCCCAGAGCTAGGGTGTGGTGCAGAGGTGAACCCCTGCTCCTGAGCCCAGGGTGTCTACCATTAATGCTTTGCTGCAGAAAGAACACTGATGCTATCTTTAGTCCTTGGGCACATGCGCGCGCACACACACACACACACACACACACCATGGTATTTAGTGCCAGAAATCCGAAGTGCTCTCACAAGTGCATTGTCAGGATCACAGGAACTGAGGTGGACCAGTCGCGTTAAGATACCTAGACAGGAACAATGCTGAGGAATTGGTCTAGTCAGATAGTCTAGTCTTGAGAAGAGAACTCTGTTAGGCAAGGCTATTTCAGTTACAGGTGACAAAAAAACTGCTCAAATTAGCTTAATGAGGAAGGGAAATTAATTGGCTCATATAGCTGCAAAACCAGATGTAATGGTGACAGAACACTGTTATTCTTGAGGCAACTGTAAATGTCCTCCTTTCCAGTTATACCTCATTGGCCATGGTGGAGTCCCAGGCCTTTCCGTGTTTATCACTGTGGCTAGAAAGCATGTTTTCTCTTTGGCCAGGCCTGGACCATCTATCAGTCCTCATTAGGGCTGAACCACAGGGACAGGATCGGGAAGGGTTTCCTGCAGAAGGACTGGGCAGGCAGCATCGAGACCCACCATGTACAATCTATGTGCGGGGCTTCAGTGGCTGCTCTGGAAACAGTGACACGGATCAGTGCGTTAGAAATTATGGGTTATGTTTAGCCTGAGTTTAAATTATATTTCTGTGGTGTGTGACCTTCATTTTCTTTACTTTATAGGGATGGTGTGACGATTAAGTAAGATAGTATGTGTAAAAGCTCTAGCTCTCAATATTGTTATATTTTAACCCCCAAAATTAACCAGAAATTTGAGGAAACCCAAAATGTAAAATGATGTGTTTATTTTTGTTAGTCCAACTTTATTCTGGCTTGAACTGCCTTTCCAGATGGGAGAGTATTTAATGCCCATAGGTTATGTGGAACAGCCAACATAGAGAAGTCACACATTCAGTGTTCAGAGAAGAAATCCTTATGATCCTTTAATGTTATCCGATCCATTCAGATCAAACAGTAACATGTGCTTTTCCTAAAGGAGTCCAATGTGACTGAAAGGTCAAGGCCAGGATGCAGGAATGTGCATTTGATATTAATGAAGGTTGCCCTGCACCCCAGGCTTCAGTTAAGTCCCAGGTCCATTGGAGAAAGAGGCGGGAAGGAGGGCCCTTCAGAATTTTTATAGCTGGTGTTTTCAAAGCTTTGTGCAGCTGAAGACTGTAATTGGTCCTTACCCTTGGGAGAGCTGAAGTGTTGTTTCCTCTTGTCCACCCTCTTATCAGTCCTTTGCATACACGGTTCTACTGAGCTGAGCTGGCCACTTTTATAGTGCATAGTAATGGGCAGAGTCCCAGCCTGTGGCTATTGATAAAAGATAATGGACTTTACTGACTTGACCTTCCAGAAGAGTTGTCCTTTCTTTGAACTTGGCCTCCAAACCAATTCTGTTTTATAACTGGGCCACTTCTCATCTTCAGTGTCATGAAATATCCTGTCCAGAAATAGAGAATCTCTCTCCTCCACAGGAGGTGCGTCTGGAAGGCTGCAGTCAGAGGCTTCCCTTCCAAGAAGCCGTCGTCTCTTACCCGTCTCTCATCACCCACCCTGTCTTCCTTTCTGGCTCAGACTTCGTGGCCAGATTTTGCCTTTTGGTTTCCAGGAGGTCCCATATCCCTTCAGCCTCTCATTTATCTAACCCTTGGCCCTTCTCTCTCTGCTTCCCTTAGTCCCCTTACTCACGTGAGGTAGAGGAATTGTATTTTTTTACCTCTCAGCTGTAGGCTTTTTGAGCAACCTCTGCTTTCCGAGGAGCACAAAGTTGTGTATTAACTCACCCCCAAACTGCCTGTCTTGCCCAGTGGTGTTCCAGTTGCCCCTTGACTCTGCTGTCTTCTCTCCCACATTCGATCGTGCTCCCGCTTAGGTGTTATGGACGCTCGGATGAAGAAAGGCAGGGAGAAGATTCCATCATTTCCAGTGAGGAAACAGTGAAAGAAAGGACAGGGCAAAGTAGACTGGAAACAGTGAATTTTCATTGTTTGATTTTCCCAGAGAACAAAGAGATAAACAAGGATAGGTAAAAAAGTTACAGTGCAGCCCTTCGAAGAATGGAGGGAAGTATATGGAGAATTTGTGTATTTATTAAGCTTTGTTCTTTAGAAGACAAACGTTTTCAAGGAAATTTCAGCCTCTCTTGGCATTTGGAAGGGAATAAAACTAAGAACATGTTAAGCAAAAAGGAGACTAGCTCAGGTATATGCTACATGTGATGCCATTTTTGTCCATGGCAGACATCGCTGGTAAACCATAGCACACTACCCTTCCTGCTGGGTCTGAATGTGGCCTCAGAATCCTTCTGCACATCCGTTACCATTCAGTCCAAGTGGGTTCTTGTTTGAAAACCTGTTTTCAGTCACTTGTGACTAGTGTCTCTACTTGATCTTTCTGTTTCCCTCTATAAGCTTTTGGTACAAAGCAGTTTAACACATGAAAAGTTACATAAGAGTAGTTCATTATTCCAACAAATATTTGTTGAGTACCTGCCAGGTACTGTTTTAAACACTTGAGTAAAAGAATCAAAATCCCACTCTAAAAAACTTGCATTCTCTTGAGAGAACCAGAAAATCATTAGGTAAACAAATACGATTATTTTTTATGGTGATGAGAGACTTCTAAGGATACTCTGATAGTAAGTGCTTGAGTGGGCATTACTTTTAGACTGATCTGGGGGTGCCTCTCTGAGGAAGTGATATTTGAGCTATGATATGAATAGGGAAGGACTAGTGGTGTGGGAGGTGCAGGGCAAAGAATTTCTGGCAGAGAAAATCGCACAGGTGAAGACTCAAGGAAACAGGGATTTGCCATGTTTGAGGAATAGAATGAAGTTTGTGTGGTGGGAGCATGGGGAGTGAGGGTAAAAATCGTAGGGGTGACCCTGGAGAGCAGGACTCCAGTGAGCAGGTCCTATAGGACCTTATAGGCCATAGGAAGGAACTTAGATTGTATTGGAAATACAGTGGGAAGTGATTGGAGGAATAGGAGGAGGTCACTGTGATTAGTTAGAGAGATGGTAGGACCTGATTTATAGTTTCTAAAAAACGTCTGGCTGCTGTGGGAAGATTGGATTAGGGTAGGAGAGGAAGCAAAGAGGCTAGTTAGGTGGCTACCGAGTCATTTATAGAGTTGATGGCGAATTAGAATGAAGAGTGTAGTAGAGATAGAAGTAGATGAATTTTGAAAAGTATTTGAAACAATATTTTCTGACCAATAGGAAATGGAAAGTTAGTACTACTCTCCTATCTGAGGTACATTTAAGTTTGATGCAATGATTAAAGCAATACAAGTTAAAGAGTTCTTCAGGGTTTTTTTCACCTGTGAATTTATGTCATTCGATTATCACCCCGCATTCTTCTACTGCTATTTACAAATCCCACCTGCTTTGTGAGTGAAAGAATGAAAAAATAAGAGTTTTCTCCCAGAGAGGCAAAAGTAAGTACTGGCTTATATTGTTCCTTGACTCTGCTTGGCCCATATTAATCTTTTTCCCTCCCTGATATCTGTTTCATTTTCAGGCATACTTACCCCTCACCTTCTGGATCACCTTGTTGGATGCCTTTTATCAAAGCCTGGTCTGCTTCTTTGTGCCTTACTATGTGAGTCCTTGTTCACTCAAAGGATTTGCTGTTAATGAATTGATGATGTTTCTTTGTACTTTGTAGCTGGTATTAGTATATGGAATGGGTATATTAGGGCAGATTGCTCATATAATCAAATTGATTATTAACTGACTAAAATATACCCCCCAAAAAACATGTTAGATAATGGATTAAATTTGGAAAGAGTGCCTAGTAGAGTCCTGTTAGGTCTCTCTTTGGTCCTGTACTGCTTGATAATTTTTGTCAATGATTTAAGTATAATTGAAAGTCTAGCAATATCATTAGATGAGCCAAAATCAGAGAGGCAAAGCCAGAATACAAAATCTATTATTAGTGAGTGCTTGGCTAATTCTTCCAGGATGACATTAAGGTATTAAATTTAAGCTCCTATAAATAGTTTGCCCAAAAGTAAAAAAAAAATCTTTTAGCCCAGCGGTTGAGCATCGACCTAGAATCCAGGCAATTGGGGTTCGATTCCCAGTCAGGGCACATGCCCGGGTTGTGGGCTTGATCGATGACTCTCTCATCATTGATGTTTCTATCTCTCCCCTCCTATCTTCTCTCTGAAATCAATAAAAGATATATTTTAAAAAAAGAAAAAAAATCTTTTACAGGTAAAGAATGAAAGAAATGTGACTAAGCAAAGAACATGTAAAAATTAAAGAATTTAGGCCAACACCAAGCACAAAGCAGCATGATACAGCCACCCATCCACACACACCCATCCCTGGAAGAAAACAATAGTTTGATCATGGATGGCATTGTGTTAACAAAAGTACAGTAGAATGAAAAACATGATATTCTAAGTTAACCATTTCTAATCTTTAGTTCTTTATTCAAATAAAATGACTGGACTTTTCCCAGCTGGAATACTCTGGATAAACTGCATTTCAAGAGCAATATAGATAGGCAGTCTGGAGTGTGTTCAGAAAAGAATAACTAGAATTTTAAAAGATCAGAAAATTGTGTCATATGAGGGATAATTTAAGGAGTTGAAAACATATACATAGAAGAGGAGAGGATATTTACTTAGCAGAGATATAAACTCAGGTTAGCCATAGTAGCTGTCTCAAAGGTTTACAGCTTTGTTACATGGAACATATTTGATATTTCTCCATACTAAAGAGCTAGAAGTATGAGTGGAAGTTTCCAGGAAGATGAATTATGATTCAGAATAAAGAGAAATTCCAACTGAAAAGTTCACAGATTAGATGGCCTGAGAAAGAGCCGGTCTCTCTTTTCTAGAAATGTTCAGTTTTATCCTAATGACCAGTTATTAGGAACATTGTAAAAGGGACTCAGTGCTCAGCTGAGTTGCAGAATAAAGCGGTGATACACCACTGAGTGTGCACAGCTCTCCAAGATCACCACCTGTTGTCCTCTCTTTATAGACCTACCGGGGCTCAGACATTGACATCTTTACATTTGGAAACCCCCTGAACACAGCTGCTCTGTTCATCATTCTCCTTCATCTGGTCATTGAAAGCAAGAGTTTGGTGAGTGAACTTCCCGCTTCCAGAGTAGCCTGGAACTCTCTGTGCTGGGGGAAATGTCTTCTATTAGCAGGGGCCCTGCTAAGCCCTTCATGCCTAGAAGACAGGTGGTAATGAGAAGAGTGATGACTCCATGGAAGAAGGGTGACACATGGCTTGTTGCTTGTTGATTGCTCAGTGCCATGATGCAGCCAGGGAAAGTGGAACACACCTGCCTGGTCCCCTCGATGGTGTCCATGGGGGATGGTTCACAGAGGGGTGGGTCAGGCCGGATGAGCAATTGTCCCTCTGTGGCCAGCATTCTTCAAGACCAAGCTGATGCCTTTCAACCAAAATAAAAAGAGGTATAATGCCGTAATCCTGGTATACTGACCTTAGTTAGTAAATGATGATTTTATGCTCTTCTCATCATACAAAATAAATATATTTTTCTTCCTCCAGAATTTCTCCCATTCACTTAAACCTAGGTCTTTTTGAACTTAGTTGCTGAGTTAATGATAAAGTTAAGTCTTTTCATCAAAATGATTGCAAGGTGGCCCTCTTCAGCAAAGCTAAAGGGTGAGATTCAGATGAGAGCTTTACTGTAAACCTTCCTTTGCAGATGAAGCACATCCCACCCACCTCTGGGGAATAAACTACTTCTGTGATTATTTATGCTGCTCACTCATTTCCATTGGCATTGTCTCTGCTCTAGTCAGAGTCACTGTCCTCTCTTCCTGGACTGTTGCTACAGCCTCTTTAGTCTTCCTACCTCTGCCCTTGATTCCTCTAGCCCTTCTCTGCAAAACAACCATATTCATCCTTTTGAGACATATCTTTTTGCTCTCCTTTGGTGAAAATCGTTAAGTGATTTCCCAATGTTCTTGTAATAAAATTTGAAAGTCCTAAGATGGCCTGTAAGACTTCATGCAGTGATGCCTCTACCTCTCTGTCCAGCCTCATTTCCACTTACTCATGGGCTGGAACCACACTGTCTCTCTTTCAGTTTCTCAGATACATTGAGCTCGTTACCACATCAGAGCTTTAGCAGTTACCGTATCTTCTGATGGGAGTAATCCTTGTTCCCTCTTGGATCCCTATTTACCCAGCCCATATGTTATTTTAGGTCTTAGCAAAAATGCTACTTCCCCCAAGAGCCTCTCCCTAACCATGCAGTTTTCTCATATCATCCTCTTGTTTTATTCATAGCTCTAATAATAATTTATAGTTATTCATTTAATTATGTGATTATCTGATTGATGTTTCACGTCCACATTAGATTATCATCTCTTTGAGGGCATGGTTCACGTTTATTTTGTTCACTGCATACCGTTATCTGTGACAACACTGGAACACAGTACATACTCAAAAATACTTGATGGATAAATGAATGATGAAATGACTAACCAAATGTTCTTGTAATAAAATCTGAAAGTCCTAAGATGGCCTGTAAGACCTCATGCAGTGATACCTCTACCTCTGTGTCCAGCCTCATTTCCACTTACTCATGCATTTCAAACAGAAAATAGCTAAATGAGGTTATAGTTTAATATGTTCCATGAGCTATTATGAAATTATTTATAATGATTTCTAAAGTGAGGCAGAGTATTTTTGGAATCCCTCACTTTGCCTATAACCTGCTTACAAGCCTAAAGTGTGATAAAAGGTTAATATCTGCAAATACCAGGTGAGGAGAATAAAGGGAACTATAGAACTAAACTATTTGGCATTGTTTTATCTATTTAAGTTCACTGTTGAGCAGTCGTGTGGGTACTTTTGGTTACTGCCTAAGGACGTGTTGTAAATTCTGACATTTACGAGTGTTCCGAAGGATCTAACATGTAAAGTGAGCTCACTGGTAATGAGCAGCAGCCATCTGCCCTGGCTGCCCTGAGCAAATAGGAAAGTTATTAGAAATATGTCAGAGAGCCATCGTAAAACAAAACAAAATGAAAACTTCCCAAGAACCAAAGTGGGTCCAGAGATCTAGGGGACAGAGACTGGTGGACAGGCTTGTCAGGGTGGTTCTCTGTCCTGATTGGCTCCAGTCGTCTTCTTTCTGCTCTTGCCTCATTGTGCTCCAAGTTTATTCTGTGGTGACAGACTTCTATTTCCTTAGCTCCAGTCACAGGCTTTGGCCAGAGGAGGAAATGTTGCCAAGACTGTGCATAATGCCAGTGTCCTCAGCAAGAGGAAGGGACGTGAAAGCCAAGCGCCAAGAAAAACAGTGGCTGCTGCACACAGAGCGCCTCATTAAAGAATTGTTTCCCATGCCAGGAATGAGTAGTCCCCTAACGCTCGTTTCCCCTGGCATAAGAATCAGTCGTTTCTTAGGCTCAGGGCCTCTGAAGGTCCCTCTTCATTAAGTCAGCCGTTCGGAGACTGAATTGGCTTCCCTTCACCTCTTGCTCACCATCTCATTGCCACCTCCCACCTCCCTGCTGGTTTTTACCAGTTTCCCTTGACTTTGACTTTCTTGTATCATTTATTCTCATGTGTCAACTCTGCCGAGGCACTGTCTCATTTGCCAAAGCCCATGTTAACTTTCGGGCAGCAGGGCTCAGTGGAAAGGAAGGCCGTTTGGGAAGGAAAAGGACCTCATTGTTTTAGAGGCATGGTGATCTTAAGAATTTAGCCCACACTGTCTAAGCAGTTTGTATGTTTTACCAAAAAAAAAAAGCAGTCTCTGTGGTCTTTGTGACTCTCGTGAAGATATCGACCAGGGGGAAGGACTTTGCAGATTAAGTGTGAAGGAGAAAATTGGCTCTTGTTTGGAAAGCATAATTGTGGGAAATAACAAAGATTAATAAAGGGAGTGCTTCCTGCAGAAGCATAACATACAGCACCAGGGTATACACTGTGATTTAGGTGGGACTGTGTGCGCTGCAGTAAATAACTGAGTGCTGCTTAATGCGATGGGGCTTTTTCTCCACATACTTCGGATTATGTCAGAGAGGAAGTCTGTTTGGGGCTATTACGTTTTATCACAATAATTCTTGCTAATTTCCCTTTGTAACAAAACAGACCAGACTGTAGACTCAGCACTATTATGACAGGTTATGTTGATGATGTTACATTTAAGGGAGTAAGCTGATTATTTTTTCTAAATAAAGTTAATTAAATAGTGAGCCAGTTTAGAGAAAAATATTTTAAAATATAATATTGCAGGGTATACATGAATATGAACATAGCTAGGTTATGCTGTGATCCACAGAGATTTATTTCTTGCTTATATAATGTTAACTAATCAGCTCTAGAGCAGTTGTCCTGAGGGGTGGCTCAAAGACCCAGGCTGAGTCTTGTAGCTCTATCTGGAATTGCCCCCAAGGGGAACTTCTTAGTCAACATGGAAGGAAAGGAGACAGCATAGAAAATTGCACGCCACAGCATAGAAAATTGCACGCCAGCTCTTCTTTGCTTCTAACCTGAAAGTTGGACGTATCCCTTCCATTCACATTGCAATGGTCAAAGCAAGACATGTGGTCGGGCTTACTTTCAAGGGAATGGGAGAAGTATAATCCTTCCAAATGCTTATTTGGGAAAAACAATGAGAATATTGGTGAGCAGCCATGTGAATGGATGAAGTTTGAGGTTCACTGGATTAAGGTATTACCGTAATGAAGAAACAGACTAATGAGTGAGACTATATGGAAAAAAAATGAAAAAAATCCAAACACCTCATGGTTTGTGGACAATGCAGAATAAACTAGTCATCAGAACTACCTCTGGCATTTGATTTAGTTTCACAGAATTCAAACAGTGCTATGATCTGTTCATGAAAGATGCTCTTATCTTAGCTCTTTAGGATTTTTCTATTTCGTTCGTTGAGGTCTCTTGCATCATCCACCCACTGCTTAGACATGTTGTCTCTGCAACAAGCCGCAAAGCCTCTGAGTGAGAGTGTTCATTTCCCCTGTGCTTCTTACCTTGCAGACTTGGATCCACGTGATGGTCATCGTTGGTAGCATCTTGTCTTATTTCATCTTTGCCTTGGCTTTTGGGGCCATGTGTATAACTTGCAACCCACCTTCCAACCCGTACTGGATTATGCAGGAGCACCTGCTGGATCCAGTTTTCTACTTAGTTTGTGTCCTCACAACCTGCATTGCTCTTCTACCCAGGTATAGTATATTTATTTTATCATCAAGACAATAAGTGAAATCATAGGCTTAGAATTCCCCGAGCAACTGCTAAGAGTGGATGATAGACCATCCAGTTCAGAAATGAAGAAGTCAGTCTGTGTACTAGTTAAAATACTGTTTTTAACTGTTTTTACCAGAGAACAAAAGTGGCTTACGCAAAGGGAAGGTTTATTTCTCTCTCATGGGAAACTCTAATCTGGTTGAGAGTCCAGTCCACAGGGATAGGGCAGCTTTGCTTCTCAGGGTTATCCAAGGACCGAGATCCTTTCCTCTTTTTGTTCTGCCCTCTTCAGCTGCCCTCACCTGCACCCATTGGAGATGACTCACCATTAGCACATCAGTGCTGCTCAGGGGGATGAAGAAAACAGAGAGGACCAGATTTCCCCCCCTCCACTCCCTTCCCATTCCTTCCCCC